GACCCTCCAAGTGTGGAAGTGGAGTGGCAGCATAGGCCTGTGCAGCTTGAAACTGCCCTGCTTCGGCTAGGCCTACTTTGAGCCATGGGCGGCTCGGAAAGTGATGTGCCAGGCTGGGCCAAAAATTGGAAACCCTAGAGACGAGACGAGACCCTAGAGTCAGAGCCTAAGTCATATCCCAAACCGCAAAATGCCGTAAATCCTTAACCCGAAAAACCTAAACGCCCCTTTGCTTGGGGCTGTGGGTTTTTCTATTTGGGTTCGAGCTGGCCAATTTGGCCATTCGGGCTTCTTCTTCTTCTTCTTCTTATTCCGGGGCCTGCCGGTTTTAGGATTGGGGCTTACCCATAGTCTCCATTGTGGTTATTTTTGTGGTATTCAAAATTGGTTAAACCAAGTAAGGAACTACAATGGAGACTGTCGGTACGGCTCAGGGTGACGACAAGCCGTTCTGACTGCGACAGATGTTCAGCTAAACCCCAACCCCTAAAGCACCCTAGACCCCCAAAACCCCACACCCCAAAAACCCTAGACCCTAAAATCGCTTCACGTTCAGACCCGTAAACCCTAAAGAAACCCTAGACCCTAAAAACCGCAAACCCTAAAAAAACCCAAGCACCAAAAACCGTAAAGAAAGCCCTAAACTTAAATGCACACCAAACTTCAACACAAATCCTAAACAACTAAATACCCTAAAGACCGAAAAACCCTAAAAAACCTTAAACCCTACCAACCGTAAACCCTAAAGACAACCTAAACCCTAAAAAAACCTAAACCCTACAAGCCCTGAAGAATGTTGAGCTTCGCTCTTGCAGGTCTCTTTGGCTTCGGGGTTGAGAGAGTGGAGCTTCCTGGGCTTTGATACAAAACGGTTTAGGGCTTAGGGCGTAAACCCTACCTTAAGCCTGAAGAACCTACCTTTTTAAGGACTTATATAAGGAAATCATAATAGGAAGCCCTAAAAAGGTAGGTTCTTCAGGGTTAAGGTAAACCCTAGGATGTTTTAAGGTTTAGTCTTAAGGGGTCTAGGGTTAAGGGATTGGGGGTTTAACGCTTCAGGGCTCAGGGGTTTGGGGTTTAGCCCTAGGCGACATTGGACTCCACTCTACCCAGAACTACCCAGCCCCGAATCAAAGCACATACTGTAGGCAGTACACCCCTGGGATACCCAAACGTCCCCAACCCTATTCATCCCTTCTCAATGTTATATGACCGTTGTAGACTGAGGCTGGTCTGTGGCCCTGGACGCCTCATGAGAGCTGATTCCGTAGTTCGATAAAGCAGTGCTGCATGCGTAGAGAATGTGGGGAGTGAGTCCCTGGATAGGACGATGAGGGTCTCGTGCCTTCTTTCCGGGTTCCGGATCGCTAACCGATCCCAGGATCACCATCATGCAACAAAGCGCTCGGAGTAATTTTAGTAAGGCTCGGATTTCCCAAGTTTCAAGAAACTGTAAGTCCGCAGACCCACACACCACAGGAAGCTCTTAACTTCAGGCCATCAGGTCCCTAAAGCCCTAAAGTAGTTCCTTTTTGGGACTACCTTATAGAATTCTATATATGCACCCCAAAAAGGAACTACTTTGGGGCCTATGGGTAAAGCCCTAAAGAGACGTAAGCGACATGCAGGGCTTAGGTTTTACATAGGGGCCTTAGCAAGCAGCATAGGGTTTGGGGGCCCATTATACTATATAATTACAATAAGGAATTCCCAACATAGTATTGGTAGCTGCTGAGGCCCCTATATTAGTCTTCTACCGTGAGTCTTTGGTCCAAACTTTGCAGAGTTTCGAAGATGGCAGAGGCTCTCGCATCACTTGCCGGAAACTTTCCGTGGAGGGTCTAGGACCAGTGACCTGTAGACCAACCCTATGCAACTGAGGTATTGCATGCATTCCTTTGTTGAAACTTGTTGGGGCTGGTTCAAGAAGCAAACTATTGTTCCGAGGCGTCAACATCCAACCTAGTTCACTGGTCTCATCAGCGGAACTTCAAGAGAACGAGACGTTAAGCTGAACATAAACATCGTTGATAGGGGTACTTGGAGGTTCATGAGTAGATATTATAAGTGGGGATATGAGTCCCCTAAGATGGGTTTAACCTACTTATAACTACCCATGAACCTCCAAGGTACAAGTCGGTTGTGTCCTGGAGCCCGAGCCTATGCAAAACACCGATTTGGCAAAATTTGGGGTTTGGGCTTAGCTTTGGGGACCCTGCATACTCGTAAATGGAGAACAATAACCCCCGTGGCATTGGCCCCCAAACATAAGTACCCCCCCCCCCCCCCCCCCATGTTCAAAAGGGTTGTTGGGTCCCAGGTTCTAGAATTTCATCTTCCAGAGCACAAGAAGCAGATAGTTGATAAAGTCTGAACCCACAACCCGCTCCTGAGCCCTAAGCCCTCTATCCTAAACCCTATACCTTAAACCCTATATCCTAAACCCTATACCCTAAACCCTATATCCTACACGCTATATATCTATATATATATATATATATATACACCCTAACCCCTATCTCCTAAACCCTCAGCCCCAGAGTAAGGTCAAGCAGTCCTCGGCCCGACCTAATTTGCTGTCGCTCCGAAGGAGCAGAGCCAACTGCACGATCTGGGGATGCTTGCGGTTAGGCTTTGGGGTTCTGGCGTAGCATGCGTGTAGCATTTGTGCAGGCGGGAACTTGCTGTTGGAGCATCCCCTTGTTGTTTGGGGTTTTAATTGTTTCAGGGTTTGGGCTTTCGGATTCAATTTTAAGGGTTTGGGATCTTTGGTCAAGTCCACGCAAGCTCTAGGGCGTTGAAAGAGTAAGCTTCGTGAAAGTGCAAGGTTAAGTTTAGGATCGTACTGTCAGTCTGACGGTCGGGACAGTCAGTTTGGGCTGAAGGATACGGGGCATAATTCTTTCACATCCGAGAGCTGCACCGACATGTTGGGTTTAGAGGTCCGTTTTTGTTTTTCAAGGGTTTGACCCAGGAATGGTCCTGCCCCGGTCACCTGGTCAAAAGGGTGCACAGAACAATAAAACTCCATGTAGGTACTGTAGGTCGTAAGTATGTACTATTGGGTACATGGACCCTTATGGGACGCTTTGAATCTCGGATGTTGTTTGAAGGGGCTTCCCGTAGGTTGTGAAAGTGTTGGTAAGGTGCTTGCTGTCTTCTGCTTGTCTGAATGTGGCTTTTCGCCATGTTCTTCTTGCTTGTCTTCTGTTTTTTGCGTGTAGTTCCCGTCTCACTCGAGAAGGAACAGATGGGGAAGGGATACAGGACAAAAAGGTTCATTACACTCCCCAAACGGCTTCGCTTCTGAAATTAACCGAGGTTGAAACCTTAAGCCATAGACCAGGTAGGTATCGTACGCATCCCTGGTGGCCCAGGTAATGCTCCCAAGCTTTCCCCTGTTCTTCGAAACGTTACAGTTTCACGGACCCCTCTGATGTCAGAGGCAGCTATGACTATCAGCCGGAAAGGAAAAATCTGCACTGATGGTTCTCTATGGGCAGCCCTATCGTACGTCATTCGTATGATATAAAGACTCAACAAAACATACTACCACCCCTGACCCCTCCGCTCTCCTCCATATGCAACACTGAGAGCTGTGATTCGAACTACTGAGACAGCTGAAGCGTGCCGCGGCATACCAACCTGTAGGCCCCGAACCCAGCACTCCGATGAGTTGCGGTCTTGTCTCATCGGACTAGCAAGCCTTAACCCTAAGGCTCAAAATAGCCCCAAAGCCTTATATAGTATGGTCTTTGGGCCCGAAAGCCTTAAAATATGAGTCTTTTGAGCCTAAGGGTAAGGGTCCATGCACTCATCTACTATACACTGGCCTTAAAGCGGTGCCTACATAGGTACTTTGGGGCCAAAGTATTTTGCAATTTGGGAACATGGACCCTTAGGGCAAAGGACTTGTAGAAACAAGTCGAGGCTGAAGCCTTCGTAAGGAGCCGACTCATTAAAGTCCAAGGCTTTCGGGCCATTCAGAGGTTGAAGATGAAAGCTTTGGGGCGTAGAAGCTCTGAGCTCGAAATCTTGGAGACTAAGATCTTGGCCCTAAAATAGCGGTAAAGTCCAAGGTCTGTGAGGTCCTATCCTGAAACGTATTCTTGTGAGCCCAGCCTGTGGCTGTCCGCGAAGAGACCCTGGGCTCAAGATTTTTCATTCCGAAGCCACGCCCCAAAAATCCACAGTACCTACCTTTTCTATATATATATATATATATATAGTAGAATGTATGTCTATGGCAGGAGTCATTTGGGGAAGTATATCCTCCATAACGTACCCAGGACCCGTTGGGACAGCAGGTTTCGGGCTGAGGGTCGAGGGGCTTCGGGCTTAGGGAAGCAAGAGTACCTAGACCCTCCATCTACCCTCTATTAGACCCTAAATGCCCTTTATGTGGGACCATTTTCCCCAAGGGTCCAAAGGACCCAATAATCAGGTACTGGGTTTTAGGATATTAGTTCCGTAGGTTAGGATCTTGGAGAGTATATGATTAAGAGGTACTTGGACCCTTGGGGGTAGAGACCAAGCCGGTCTGAACAAAGCAAGGGCACTCCGAAAGGGGTTTTTTACAGGCTGTTACACTTCAATCCGGCCCAAAACCTGGAACCCAATATGACCCCTACCTTCTATAGGTAAGCTGTCTTTGCGACATCAAGACTGAATCAAGACACCAGCAAACCCTAAACCCTAAACGCTACACCCAACCCTAAACCAATATTTCGACGGACGGCGGGCCTCTAAGTCCCAGAACCTCAAAGCCTTACCCCCAGAAGTCCCCCAACCCATGATGTATGCTTGATGATCGAAATCCTGCATGACCTTAAGGACCTTAATGTATGGAAATTCTGGTCAATGATGGTATAGTCCTTATTATGTCCTAGGGTTTACGGCTCAGGGTTTTTCCATAGCCCAAAGTCCCTGAAGCCACGCCATCTCCCAAAATTTCGGGGTTTTCGTAACCCAAACCCCGGAAACGCCGAAGTCACCGCGGGATGACGTCCGGGATGTTGCGCCTACTGACCCCGGTGCTGCGCCGCGGAAACGTTGCGGCCGAGGTTCCACAGGGTTTCCTGCCCCAAGTCCTTGTATCTTTTACCTGAGCCCTGTAACCCCTACCTTTTACGGGTTCCTTATTTCGATGTCCTCAAACGTAGCACCTTATGTGGAGTCACTTGGAGTTAAGGGAAGCCTCTGGGCTTTCAAGGTGCTGAATTTGCGAACTCTGCCCGTCGCAAATCCTCATCTCCTTAGCCTTAGCCTTCCAGCCGGCACACCCAAGCCTGAAGCTTAATATAGGGGCCTTATATAGGGTCTTGGGGCCCATTATACTATAACTCTAATGAGGAACCCCCAAAATAATGTTGAGAATTATACTCTTGAGAATTATTCTAAGAATTATCTACATTATTTTGGGGGCTCCTTATTAGAACTATAGTATAATGGGCCCCAAGACCCTATTCTAGTCAGTAAGGCCCCTATAGTGACCTATTTCATCCCTAAAGCAAGCCCCGCCTATTGTCTCCGTTGTAGTTCTTTTTGGATTACCGCGTTGTAGGGTCCTAATTCTATAGTTGGTTAAACCCAATTGAGGAGCTACCATGAAGACTAAAGGTAAAGCCGAAACTCTACAGGCTTAAACCTAAAGCCTTGAAGGCATGCACGACCCAACAGTGGCAAGCAAGAAAAGCCGAAACCCTGGTCAAGACCCCATGTTCTAGCCGGTCGAGCCGACGGTCGGCATCCATCCACGGTAAAGGGTTTGGGGCTTTAGGGTTGCAGGGTTACAGTAGAAGCCAGAAACTTGGAATATCATTATCGTAACCCCTTTAAGGCAAATTATAGGGGATCCTACAATTAATCCATAATCCAACTTTCTGGAGTTCCCTGCAGGGTGAGGGTGCTACCACGGTTTTAGAGTATAGGGTTCTAGGATGTCGAAGGTTCTGGGTGCAACCTGAGGGTTTTGGGCTTTACCTATAGTCTCCATTGTAGTTCCCTCTTTGGTTTAACCAGTTAGATATTAAGGACCCTATAAGGTAACCCTAAAAAAGGCATTACAATGGAGACTATAGGTAGTACTTGAAGCATTGAGGGGTTGAGCAAGTTTGGGTTTTGGGGGTTAGGGCTTCGCGCTCCGCATCCCTAATCGCAAAACCATTCATGTCGCAATGCAGGCCTTTATCCGAACGAGATGCACAAGCCTTTACCCTAGAGTCTAAACCCTAAACCTTATTAAACTCTAAACCCCAAACCCTATAAACTCTAAACCCTAAACCGTGTTTAGTCTTAATCTTTGTGCAGCGACAGGTGGCGGGCACCCAAGGGTTTCTTCATGACGACACGATGGCTGCCCGCCGGCGATTGGTCTAGGATGCTGGCTCTTGCACGTAAGAGGGCGGACAGTGAAGGCATTTTCGCTTTACATATAGTCTCCAGTGTAGTTCCTTTTTTGGGTTTACGTTAAAAGGATGCTAACTGTATATTTGGTGTAACCAAACTAGGGAACTACAATCTAGACTGTAGTTAGGGTCTATAAAATCCAGTCATTCCATTGCCACATTGTCCTTCTGTCCTGCTAGACACATGGGAACTCTTTCCATTCCTGTACCCACCGTGTTCCGGATTCCTAAGACACACCTGCCTCAACCAAAAACCATGTCACTTAGGGTGGAGAGGCCCGTTATGGTGCGGTGGGGCCCAAACCTAACCCTAGGATGCCCAGAAGTACCCTTATTCCCTTTTTGTAGTCCTAGGTTCCTTATAAAGTTACCCAATACCAAAAAGAGAGGCCTTTTTATTCTTAGGTTACTGGGTATCCTAGAACCCTGAACCCTCATCGGCTGAATCTCGAATCCTGATCTCTAAGCTATGTTTCTGCGGACGTTGCCAGACTCCAGCCGCCTCAAGCCTCGCACGTCCCTGTGCCCGAAAGCCCAAATTAGCCCCCGACCGAATCCGAAAGAGCAGAAACCCGACGTTCTCGTCTTACCTGTATATTTTCGCCCTAAACCCTAAACCCTAAACCCCTAAACCCTAAACCCTATAAACCTTAAACCGCCATTCAGGGTTGACCAAGGCGCACAAGTGACAACACACGGAGAAGTCAGGGTTTGGGATGTAGCCTGAATAGGCTTCCTAAACTAACTATTATTTGCTTAAGAACCCCCAAAAAATCAAAAAAAAAATAATCCCTATATTATCCCTATAAGGAACATATTTTTTATTTTTGTGGTTCTTAAGCAAATAGTAGCTAAAATCCCGAACCGAACCCCTGCAAGCTGCCCTTGGTAACCGAGGCACGAAGGGTGTGACGAAGGTGTCCCTTAGACTTGTAGTTCCAGCTGTAGTTCTCTTGCCTTTAAGAGTTTAGGGCTTACCCTAAGGCATATATAGAGTCCTATAAGGTAATCCCAAAAAGGAACTACTTTGGGGCCTATGGGTAATGTTTTCTGGAGACCTTCAGCCTGCCACTTCATGAGGTGGTCAACGTCTTGAAAGCAGAACAGGCTTGGCATGTAGACCTTGCATATAGGGGGTTTAGGGTCTAGGGTTCAGGGTTTAGACCAATAATTTTCTGGGCCGAATTGCCCAAGACGCCTACATGTGGGACTACATGATATAAACATCGAAGCCCAACACGTTCCAGTTTCCGAGATCCTGGCAAGCCCCTTTAATCCGTGATTCTCCCAGTCCCAGACATGCAAAACGACTTGAATATGGTTTGTGTGAAACGATCCGGGGTTAGGCTTCGAGTATTGCTATTCGCGGTCCTTCGGTTCAAGGCTTGCTCCGTACGGCCTCATGGTAGGCCGCAAGCAGATGAGCTTCCAAAACTGAGTCCACCTGCGTATTGGCAACGCATACGTGAGTTCGCATGGGTGCTGCATAGTTACCCGGACTATGATCACATAGCAGTGCGTACTCCGATCGTAATATCGCAGAGTGTAACCACTTCTCATCTAGTTTGCATCGGACATGTACCTGCATTCTCAAGGATATCGCATTCTCGAAAAGTAAGAGAAAGCTTATCGGCTGGAAATTCTGTCTTGCTTTGGAGTCGATGTGAGAAAAGCTGAACACATTGGAACGCGTTTTCAACATCTTGTCCATGCAGTGTGCATGCGATGTGTAAACAGTTTCGATGCCCAAGCCAGTATTCCCTTGACGCAGCGGTAGTTCTCCAAATTAGAGTCCCCTTTAGAGAAGGGTGCCATGCTGCATTCGGGACCCAAACAGGGACCTTCATGTAGAGAACTACCCTTCTCGTACTCCAACTTGGATCTTCTGGGTGTTGATACATTCTAATTCATCTCTGCTGACATCTGTGATTCTGGTGTATACTGCACCGATCCAACCCCTTGTCATGTCGTTGTGTGTGTGTGTGTGCGTGTCTATGTGTACGTGTGCGGTCGTGTGTCTGTGTCTCTGTATGTGCGCGCATGTGTGTGGTGTTGAAATCGTATCTCTCTGGCCGATGCCAGTTCAGAACAGACGGCTTATTGCACAACAAGGCGGTTCAATTCCCTGGTATCAGCTCGAAATTCGATGATGCTAATAAAACCCTGAACCCGGAAGCCTAAACCGAACAAAACCCTAAGGGTCCATGTACTCATATAGTATATACATTGGCCTTAATGTAGTCATGTATCTCTATATGGGTACATGGACCCTTAGGGAAAACTAAGCCCCAAACCTTCAAGTCCTCCTTGGCATAGGTGGTGCGCGGTGTTCCCGTCGCACGCATCAACGAGGATGGGCATCTTGGCTGCAGTTGTTCGTAGTTGGGCGCTTGGCTTGGTTGCTACATTTTTGTCCCTCTGTCTCTGATTTTTATCACTAGCTGTGTTTATTTGTCTCCTTGCCTGCATCAGCAGGTTGTTATTGTGTGTGTGTATTCATGTCTTGTCTTTGCTTGTTGACGAATGTAGTTCTTTGCATCTGTACCTCCCTCTCTTCACTGATGGAAGTTCCTTCTGTGTTCACTAAGTGTTCGCATAGGTGGTACGCATAGGCGCAGAAAGTGTGCGCAGAAAGTGTCCCGGGGGGGGAGCGGGGGGGGGGGGGGTACTGGACATCAACTACTCCAGCAACTAACAGGAACTTTGAGTTTCATGGGCAGTTTTCGCTTGTTTTCATTTCGCTCTATCAACCCGAAGCCCCCAACCTTGATTCCCGGAATCAGCTCAAGCAACTTCAAGACTTTATGTGCTGCAAATGGCTTTGGCACAGTGCACAGTGGCATCTTGTCGTGGGCATTGAGGATGCGGGGTATGGGTGCCAAGCACAAGATTGGGAATCCACTTGCGCACGCCCTGAACCATATCCATATATATATATATATAGAGCCCTAAACCATATCCAACACGAGAGCCTTTGAATCGGACCTAGACATGACAGTGACACTACATTGACATGCTGATACGATACGCTGAGCAGCCCCAGATTTGCCTGGTTCGGGGTCCGACGCATCGTCCCTGAATTCCATACACCCTACTTGGAGGGTCGGGGGACTTAGTAACTGGTGATTTTAGGGACTTATAAGTACCTTAACCCCAATTAGGGTCCCTCTTAGGGTACTTATAAGTCTACTTACTACCTACTTACTAAGTCCCTGAACCCTAAACCCTAAACCCTATGGTACCCCTATAGAGCCCTTTAAAGGACCTACTTACTAAGTCCCCCGACCCTCCAAGTAAGCCCCACATGTCGCAATCGACTTTAAAGGGCAAAATTATTACCATGTACTTTGGGGGTTCCTTTTTGTGAGTATTATAGCTAGGATGCCCAGTAGTACCCTTATTCCCTTTTTGTAGTCCTAGGTTCCTTATAAAGTTACCCAATACCAAGAAGAGAGGCCTTTTATTCTTAGGTTACTGGGTATCCTAGATAGTATACGATACCCCAAACCCTATTCTAATGATTACAGTCCCTCCTTAAGAAGTTATGAAGTGCACGCATCCCAAAATTCAGACCTTGAGCCAAGTCTTCAAGTCATGCTGAAAAGGTGCGCCCCGGCCCAAGTCAGCCCAAGTAGGTCGAGGGTTTGTAGCCCAGATTTTCTTGCGGCACCAATGGGTCTGCCGGCCGAAACCGTAAGAAAACAACAAGCAACCTACGACCACTGTAAGTCATCCTGCTTAAAAATTTGCTCCTTACAAAACGGAAGTCCCTTGTCAGGCATGGAGTTGTTCACCTGCATGTGCGGAAGGACTTTCGCATGGTCCCCAAGATCTGTATAGAAGTTTTGGACATGAATTCGCTGGGTGCGAGGGTGAGGGTCGAGGGTGGTTTTTCAAGCGAGAGTCATGGCTGTGTTCTAGGCCGGATGCGGACGCCCTAGCAGAACCCCTAGTGCCCCAGTGTAAGCCTTAAGCCGTAAGCCTGAACCAAAGGGGAAGTTCTGGACAAGCTTGGCTCCGTGGTTGGGATTCTTCTCCGGCACGTTTTTGTTTTCAGCTTTGCTGAGTGGTCTAATCAAGGGATTGTTCAGGTTCCTAAAACTTTGGGTCTGTCATGATGTAAGCAGTCTTGCTTGGGCTCGGGAGGAGCAAATAAGGCCTTACTTCCTCCTTCCCAGTGATTGCTCTTAGGGGATGAGTGCAGCATCACTACGCAAGTAGATGAGCATCATTTGAACGGCCCCGTTCCCGGATCGAGGCAGGGAGGGAAGGGAGGGAGGGAGGAGGGAGGGAGGCCCTGCTACTCCCTCCTACTCCACTCCCCTACTCCCGTGCTACTCCCTTGCTACTCCCCTGCTGCTCCCCTGCTACTCCCGTGCTACTCCCGTGCGATTCCTTTGCTACTCCCTGCTACTCCCCTGCTACTCCCTTGCTACTCCCCTGCTACTCCCTTGCTACTCCCCTGCCAATCTCCTGCTACTCCCCTGCTGCTCCCGTGCTACTCCCGTGCGATTCCTTTGCCCTCCCCTGCTACTCCCCTGCTACTCCCTGCTACTCCCGTGCTCCTACTCCCTGCTACTCCCATGCTACTCCGCTCCTACTCCCTTGCTACTCCCCTGTCAATCTCCTGCTACTCCCCTGCTACTCCCGTGCTACTCCCGTGCGATTCCTTTGCCCTCCCCTGCTACTCCCCTGCGACTCCCCTGCTACTCCCTTGCTACTCCCCTGCCAATCTCCTGCTACTCCCCTGCTACTCCCGTGCTACTCCCGTGCGATTCCTTTGCCCTCCCCTGCTACTCCCCTGCTACTCCCTTGCTACTCCCCTGCCTATCTCCTGCTACTCCCCTGCTACTCCCGTGCTACTCCATTGCTACTCCCCTGCGACTTCCGTGCTGCTCGCCTCGTATTTGTCGCGGGAAAATAGGAAGGGAGGAGTGGCCCTGTTTTTGGTGAGAGAGAACCAGCTGCCTTGCAAAGCAGGGCTGCAATTTACAAGGCATCCGGAGACTACGCTGCAGACAGTGCCAATTCACAAAGGTTCAACCGGACTCAAAAACGAGCATGTACCAAATTACCAGACGTGGGAACCAAAAACGTAGACACCTGCAAAATGCCTGGATCTAATCCCAGGCCTTAAGCCCTAACCCTAGGCCCCAAGCCCCTTCCCAGAGACCCGAAACCCAAAAAGATCAAAAGAAGCGGAGCCAGCAAAAGCAAACTGAAGCTTTTGAGCTTGATCATGGGCCCTACTTAACCGCCCTAACCCTCGTACACACGAAGATAGACGTGGTGAGAAACAGAGAGGCAATTGAGGGAAAGTGGCCTATCTAAGCATGCTTGTTTTCCTCAGCACAGCATCTGGGCATATCTGGGCGATGCTGTTGGCCATGTCACAACTTCAGGCATTCATACTGCTTCGCATCTCTAGACCTTAAACCCTAAACCGCCTTTGCACTCAAGTCCTATAAGCGACATCCCGAAGCTTCAAGCATGAAGCCACATCTATGCCAGGACAAAGAGACCTTCGAATTCAGCTTTCGGCGAACCCTGCCTGGCGAGAAGCTGCGCTCTGGCTACCAAAGCAGCAGCGAGATTGACAGGGATATAGCACGGCATTGTGATGCCAAGCGTTGGCTCATAATGCAATTGAACGGTTTTGAGGTATCTTCTGATAGGCTTGGAAGCGATGCGGTTTCTTGAAGTAGTTATTTGCTTCAGTGTTCCGAGACCACAGCGCCAGAAACCATTGCCATCCAATAATGTCCGCAAGCTATAGGATGCTAACATGAAGCATCTCCATGCTAGTGTTTGTCACAGCCTTCGTCATGCCGCCCTCTTCCTCCGGCATCTTCACCATCCTCTTCCTGCAGCATCTTCACCATCATCATTATCAGCATCATCACCATCATCGGCAACACCAGCACCACCACCATCATCAACGTCATCGAACCATCAGCGTCACGATCAACACCATGAACATCACTGTCGTCACCACAACCGCTTGTGCACCGCACACCGGTCTAAACACATACAAGATGAAGTGACAGTTCGCAAGTTGGCAACGGCAAGGTGCACACTCATGGCAGATGGTAGTTCGGAACAGTTGCTGATACTAGGATTTTGTGACGACCTTCCGGAAGTGGCAGAGACCCGGTCGAGTCATTACAACATCCCTCAGAACCCTTTAAGGCAATACGCCGGCTAGAGTGCCGGTTGGCCGTTGCTACTAACCGTCGGTCGTGTAAGCGCTGGTATGCTTTCTGTCGCGATCACCATGCTTTCTGTCACAGTCACCATTAGCAATCACCTTAGCATCACTACCTTGACAAAACTGTGTCTAGGGCTCCCAGCCCGTTTTTGTTCTGGGATCGTCCGTTTCAAACCGAGCAGTAAGAAAAGGGTAATGTTGCTACGGAGACACTGTGGAGCCTAGCTGTGCATGAGAGGATCGGGTACATGGAGTCGGCATCCCGTCAGTTTCTCACAGCACAACTGATGTACACCCAGCCTTCACGTTGTTCGGCCGCGAGGTGTTGCTTCGCTTTGTGGACCTACAGTGTGCATGTTAAGGCCCCAAGCAAGCAGCGGTACGAAGACTATTCAAGCATCGTGGTATTCGGCAGTGGATCCTTCGTTATGCGACATCTGTTATGTGGAAGTCTGAAGGGATGCCCCCCCCCCACCCGAGACCCGACTTGCAGACTAGAACACTTGGATGCCGCGGGTTCCCATGCCATGGTTCTTTGGTGTCCAACACGGCCCAGGGCCAAAGACAGTCCAAAGCAAGTGAGCTGATATGAACGCCCCGAATAATTCATAATACGATGGCCCCGGTATCAATCTGTTTAGGCAATCGGGCTTCTAACCTTAAAACCCGTTGGGTCGGTCGCTGAGGAACCTCAAAGTGGGCTTGGCGAAGCACGATCGCTTCAAGAAGAAGGAGCCAGGAAAGTGTCTCGGACTCCTAGCTTTAGTGCTGTTAGAAATTGTTGTTTCATTTTTGTGAAACCAGCCCAGAAAACTCCACAGGATCGTGGTAATTATTGTAAATTTCGAGAAATATTGCCCCTAAACCCTAAACCCTAAATCCTAAACCCTAAACCCTATTATTAGTATGGTGCCGGGGGAGGTCTAAAGGCGCTCTAGGCGAAACCCTTGGCAATTTCGGGCTTGCCTCTACTCTTTTGGTTCTTCTTACAGCCATTATTCCCAAAGGGTCCAAGTACCATTCTAGTAGGTACTTAGTAGGTATCTAGGCCCCAAAGTATATACTATACTAGTACCTCGAGACCCTTTGGGATTAATTCAGCTTATGCCTACAGAAGAGGTGAGGCACAGCAACCATCTTCGGACCAAGGTCAGAACTGTATGGGTTTAGGGTTCAGGGTTTTGGAGTTTATGTTTTTAGGGGTTTAGGGGTTTAGGGTTTTGGGTTGTCGGGTTTGGGGGTTCGGGGTTGAGGGTTTTGGAGTTGAGGGGTAAGAGTCTAAGGCATAAAAGAAAGTGGCGATGCATGCTTCGGCTCTATATCCGGCAAGTTTTGAGGCGCCGGTTTAAGGTTTAGAGTTCAGGCATTTCGGGTTTAGGGCCTCGTGCACGAATCTGAGGTACCGGCTGGCCATCCATGAGCGAACCACAGCTTCCACCGAAGAGGCACAAGCAGGGGCTTGCGGCAGGCCTCAACCCTGAGGGTGTTCATTTGGTCATATAGCATCTACTTCGGGCTTCAAGAACCTGCATAGCGACTGCTTTGAGGCCGACGTATAGTACCTTAAGGATCCAAAAGGGCCGAATCATTCGGCACTTGGGTTTGGGATAACATAGGTTCCTAGGTTCGTATCTGGGGGAGTCTACGATTCTTGGTTGCTTGTGACACTTAGGGTTCAAGCAGGCCAGCAAAGAGCGGACCTGGTCTGGGTCTTTCCGGATCTAAGGTTGACCCTACACTAATTCAACCCAGAGCCTAAACTTACCCCAAACTCTAAACCCAGAGCCTAGATTGACCCTAAACCCTCGACCGCATAAGCAACAAAAAACTGTCTTTCAGTGGCTTTGGTGTGCTTAGTCTTAGTGTAGCTAGACGAGGTTTGGAGTTGAAAGCGGACCGAGAACAGGGGCTCGGGCTCCGAGTCGCATGGATCAGCCCAAGATCTGTGAGGATTTGGGGTGGAGGGGGGGGTGGTAGGTTCCAGGGTTTAGGCTTTCTGACCCTTAGGGTCTCCCTAAACCCTAAAAAAAAAAACCTTAAACCAACCAACCAACCTAAACCCAAGCCCTGAACCCTCAACCCTGAGTCGAAATGCTTGGCGGAGTTCCGGTCTTGGGCTTTAGGTTCAACTCCGAGGCACGGTTGAGGTTTCAGGGTTTAGGGTTTCCGGGCGGGCTTGGCATGTGGTGCAGGTGAAGCCTCGTTGCCCAAATTTTGCGCAGAAATGCGGAGGCTGTGCCACGGATGCATGTTCTTTCCGCGGAAAGCTTAGAAGTACCTAAAGGATCCCGGCTGCAGGTACACGACTTTTGTTGTTTGTGTACGCATCCCCCATATAAGGCCCAAGCAGGTTTCTTAAACCCATAAACCCTAAACCGATTATGGTATAAATACCTATAGGATCCTTGAGGATAGCACCGAGGTATCCGTCGGTATGAAAGCAAGCCAGCAGATCTCTGATCTCTACAGGGGGGGGTTAGGATATAGGATTTAGGTTTTAGGGTTTAGGGTCTAGGTGATTTTTAGGATAGTATGTGGAATCAAGAGGATAGCTACGCCTGTGAGGTTTAAGGCTCTCGGGGACGGCAGAGACTCCACAACTCCTTCTCCGGTACCGTGCCCTAGACCTAAGCCCTATAAACCCTATAGACCCGCTAAACCCTAAACCCTATTCCTGCAGCCGAACTAAGGTGCCTTTCAGAATCTGAGGCAAGGACGGTTGCAGCTTTTAGCTGAAACGATGCCAGAAGTGCAGAACATACTGTACGAAGAATGAAGCGGGTTTAAGATGTGAGCCTCATGGCTGTTTTCGCTGCTGCCAACATGTCACATCATGTTACAGGAGTATATAACAGTTTAGGGTTTAGGGCACCACCAAGAGCTCCAGATTACAGAGGCCCTTTGAACTCTGTGACAGGTTCGGAAACTTCAGGATGCCGAAAACCAAACTTTCCGGATGTATCACCACCCGAGTTCTTCTCGAGTAGCTGTCGGGTCGACATGTGAATGTCTACGTAAAGTAAGTCTGAAACTTGAAACACGGCGCGATAAGCAAGGATTTAGTTCGAGTAAGTTGAAGCACAGCTTCTCGGAATATCAACATCCACCAAACGCAAGCTCGGACCCGCAGAGATCCGAAACGCGACCATGGGGATGTCAACCATTTCGGATAGATGTTGGCTTCTGGTTCCGAAGTCAGGCTTCAGCTGTAGCATGCTGTAGCAGCATGTAGCCATTTAGTATAGACTTTAGCATTAAGGGAGTCCCTACACAGGCACTTCTAAGGCAAAGATATAGACTTTGTGTCCATACGAGTACATAGACCCTTCGGGCAAACCCTAAGCCCCTAAACCCTAAATCCAAACAACAAAATAAACCCTAAATCCCTAAACCCTAAATTCCTAAATTCCTAAACCCTAAGCCCTAAAAAAAGAACCATAGTAATGACACTTTGGCGCGCAGGTACGAATCACAGCTGAACGAAAAGTCGCTCGAAATCAATTGTGGCGGAGTTGCTGAAACCCTACTTTCTCCCCAAATGGGAGTTTCCGAAAATTAGGGATACTTGATTTTAGGGTCCTTATAATGAGGATCCTACTATTAGGTGCTATATTGGGGTCCCCCGTTTTCGGAATTTCCAAAATAACCTATTCTTTTAAGGGTTCATATCAGGAACCTACTTTAACCCCAGTTAATTCTTAATTATAGGGGGCTCTTGTAAGGAAGTCGTAAGTAGGGACCATAAAAATGTGGGTCCCTCAGGGTCCAGGCAAGGCTCCAAATCGCTTACTTGGAGGGTCGGGGGACTTAGTAACTGGTTATTTTAGGGACTTATAAGTACCATAACCCCAATTAGGGTCCCTTTTAGGGTACTTATAAGTCTTCTTACTACCTACTTACTAAGCCCCCCGACCCTCCAAGTAAAAGTCTGATATAGTATGCGCTTTGCGCCCAGAAGCCTTGAAATATTAGTCCTTATAGGGCCTAAGGAAAGAGATCGGCCCTTGTGGGGCTGCTTCTCTGCAGACATATTCTTTTTGGAATACTCAGGGCATTGGGTAGAGACTGTGGTGCTTCAAGTTTCAAGCTTCAGTTGTGGCTTTCTTTAAACTTAGCCCCCGAAACCTTAAACAACAAGCAGACGATAGGAAAGCCCTTGCAGAAACTTAGGGGCACTTAGAAATAATTCCTAATTCTGTGTTATTCTAATTCCCTAAGAAACAGCTAAGATTTCAATATTTGCTAGGTCTCTAAGTTCAGTATAGTAAATCCGAAGTTGGACCGCTGAACTGAATCAAGTAGCTTTTCCCAAAAGCCCTCAGGCTCCATGTACCCATATAGTATATACATAGGCCTGCCTTAAAGTACCTATATAGAGACCCCTTTAAGGCCTAAGTATCTACTATAAAGGTACATGGAGCCTTTGGGATAATGCCTGGCTCACAAACCCTGAGCAACTTCCTTAAGCCCTACACCTTAAACCTCGGTCCAAACTCAAGTGAACCACTGCTAAGAGCTTAAGTGAGCCTTCAGCAAACCTTGCGTAAGGTGTAAGGTTGAGGGTTTGGGGCCAAGCATTCGGTAGCCATAACTTGGGTACTGCCCCCACTCAGCAACAGTTGGATAATATTCATAATATATATATATATATATATATAAGGACCTTAATAGTAGCCCTATTATAGACTCTTACTGTATGGGGGCAGTACACCAGGCATAACTAGCTCTTGAGCAGCTTTTAGAAACCGTTGAAAATGCAAAAGAAGCCTGCAAAAACCTGTTTTGGTCATGTAGGCCGTTACTGTACTGAAACCCTTACATAGCTAGTAACCCTTACAGAGGAAAACAATGCCTTTTCTACATGTAGGTTCTTACTTTGTAATCCCTTCTAGAACCCTTTAAGACGAAGCATTTTCTCCCAAAGGGTCCAAAGTACCGATATAGTAGAATGTAGGGTTTCCAAATTAGGAATTACTATTATGATTTGTGGAAGAGTATTCCCCATAACAGTACATAGGACCCTTTGGGCCTTTGGATCTGCAAGTAAAGTCTGAGGATGCATCTCCTGGAGATCCTCCTGGATCAGTTTGGGCTTCTGCGCTCGGAGGCGCGAAAGTAGAGTTTAGGATTTAGGGCCTCGAGCTTGAAAGTTCGAGATTTAGTGCTAAATTGGAGGCGCTTAAGAAGAGTTTAGGGCTTACGGCCTGGAGTTTGAGAGTTTGGGACTTGGAATTTGTGGATCAGATAGAGGGTTTCACCCGCTTGGATGTCTTCTGGCTTCTGATGGCTCAGCTGTGAAGCTAAGTAGGTTGGCTTTCAATCTTCTGGGTATCCTCAACGGGCACACATAAATCAGAAGGGCTTGCTGGCCGCTCGCAGCATTTCCCGTCGTGTATCATGCAATGCCTTCAGACAAAAGTCAAAACAATTTTTAATTACAGTATCAATGATAGTAATCATAGTAACAACAATAACCACAATGAGAATCACAACAATAGCAATAGCTTAGAAATAACAGCAACGATAGCAATAACAATTTGAATATTAATATAGTAGCCTCACTTGAGTGGTCAGGGTAATATGGGCCTGAGCAACTCAAGCGATGCTAGTGTTCATAGTTAAAACTACCCGCCCTCCTCCCGCCTCAGCCGGATTGCGATGGTCTACTCTATACCCAGAGGCCCCAAAGTAGTTCCTTTTTGGGGTTCATATATAGAATCCTATTGGGTAATCCCTATTGGGAACTACTTTGGGGCCTATGGGCACCCTTAAGGAAGCCTGAAGCCGAGCAGAGGCGTGTTCACCATATCTTTGCTCACACGGTTTGTTGGTTCGTTGCTTTGGGTTTAAATCGCGTTTCCGGGTGCCATGTAGGAGACCCCGACCTCTCGCCGCCGTCTGCAAATTAAACTTCCACTGCGAAAGATTTTTGATGGAGGGGCGTTGGGGTTTAGGTTTCAGGGTTATGGGTGTGCTAGAGGCCTGGGGTACGACCCCCAAGACCTTGTATAGGGTTGTTGGAGCCGAGGAGGTGGTTCTTGCTGATCCCGTGGCTTCCGCGTCCATCTTCGGCTTTCACGCAAGGACAGAGCACGGAGACCAAGATGGCGAACGCCGGGGTGTCCCGAAAACGACCCCGAATATAGGGCTCATACCAGCTTGTACTGAGATTTCCATTTACTCCCCAACCCCTACTCCAGTGACTACGCTCCCTACAAGTAACCCGGGCTATATAAGACCCGAACAGGTGCTAGAAAGCGATTGCAAGCACAATGCAAGGCTTAGGGCATCGTAACTTGGTCCACGACCTAGTAGATCCCCCTCTAATTGCCGCTCCTGATGTGACGCTCGTTCTCCACGAGTGTGAGCTCTAGTTCTCAATCGTGCCGAAAGTATAGAACCTGAGGCAGCTGCCCCCAAAGGGTAGGTCCCTCCCGGGAAAACTACCTGCGCAGGGGATCCCTTTCGGGATGGAACTCTAGGCAGATTCCAAGTCTCTGTATCCTACACTATATAGATAGCTAGCCTTCCAATGCCCAAGAGAGACTGTATACCGGTGCTTGGGACCGTAGCATGATGCTGTGAGATGTTAAGACAGGGATGAGGAGTCAAGCTGTACTGGGCTGCAGCCCTAAACTCTGAGCAACAGGCCTTGAAGTGCAAACCCGTACCGAGTCGACTCGATGACTCCAATATTTCAATGCTGGCGGCCAAAAAAGCACATAAGCATAAGCATTTCATAGGGATATCCCTGGCTTCATGGGCTTCATGACGAGGGGGTTTTCATGGGATATCCCCATCCTAATTTGTGCTTATGTGCTTTTTCGGGGCCCTACAACGCCTCATGCATCCTGGTTTCCGAAAGACGAAGGTGCTCACGGCAGATGCTCCCTTAGTTGCCTGCTGAAGTCTTGCCGTCCTGAGGATTTTCGATCTCCTACAGCCCCAAACCCAAAAGCCCTACACCCCCAAACCTGAGCCCTCTCAAAACATAGCCTTAAACCCTTAACCCCAAACCTTAAAGCCTAAACCCTCAAACCCCAAAACTCGTAAACCCCAAACCCTAAGAAGCCTTTATGAGGTTTCGGGCTTTTCTGCGAGATGGCCTGCAGTTTGGCATGCATCCGGCCACTTATCCTAGCTTTGGGCTTCGGTTTCGGGTTAAAGTTTAGGGCATTTTAGAGTTTTGGTTTTGACTTGAGGGTTCAGGGTTTGGAGGTTTGGGGGTTTTGGTCAACCATATGCACTGAAGTAACACACATGAACGGTGCCTCAGCATCTAAAAAGGGCTGACGCTTTGTTAAGAGTCATTGTCTCTGGGCTTCGGGCTGCAGACTTTCAGAGTCCGTTCCTTTGAGTTTAGGGTTCAAGATGATATTGAAGCCCTGAAAACTAAGCCTAAACCCATGGTGCAGTTCGAACAACCCAATTTCCTCAACTGTATATGACCCCCAAGCCCCACAACATCCTACAACCTAATTTTCTGAAGCCTATAATTCTCACACCCAAAACCCGCAAACTCTAAACTAGTTCCGACAAACTAAGCTAGTCCAAACCGCTAAGCCACAAAACCCGCGACAAGAGCATTACGCTGAGGAAGGAAGTCCGATTCCCATTCCCATCACGGAGTGTCATCTCCATTCGGACAGTGCGTCAGAGACTCAGGTCGTTCCCAGAGATGTCTAGGGTTTTGGGTTTATGAGACGGTTAATTGCCCAGAGGGTCCTAGGTACTGTTATGGGGGACCCTTCCCCGAATCAGAATATTAGCTCCTCCTTGGATAGAAACCCTATATACTTTTTGTTTGTATGTATTTTGCAGCCTTGGGGCTTAGTAATGGCGGGATAGATTTCATAGAGGTGGTTCTGTAGGTCCCATAGCAGGCCTGGGAACAGAAATCCGTGACTGCGAAACCTACGTAATTACAATATTAACCTGCGGATTCGTTCGTAATTGCTGGGACCTCAACCCGCCAAAGTGGGTCAAATAATGGCCCAACACCTAAGAAGCGCAATTATTCTACATACTCTTTGGGGTCCACGGAGTGGTTGAGGTCTCGCACCTGACGCGAACCCCTGTAGGATGCCCGCCCGATTCGCCGGCATCCATGTCTATCTGAAAACCCACGTAGGTACTCCGAAGCATCGGAGGTTTGAGTATGTCCTACGAACTTTAGGCCTTAAACCCTGCGCCCAGTATTGCACTTCTATCCCAGCCGACAGTTCAGGATATCCTAACCTGCAAGTCTTCTACCGGAAGGCTCCTGCACCCTCACGCTCGAAACCCCTGTGCCTTAAAGCGCAACCCTCAACCCTAAAAGCTGAAAAACCCTAAACCGCAACCCCGTAAACCTTGGACCCTAATCTTATAAGTTAGAAGCTGCCCCCACCCTGTAATAGTGACTAGAATTATATTAGGGCCCTATTATATTCCTATTATACCACTATTACAGGGTGGGGGCAGCCTCTAACCTATAAGCCTGAAACCACGAGGCAGCTGGCCTTCGATGCCCTGCGACGCTCTCTGCGTGCTGCTGGCGCCACCGCCTTCGACGAGCGAACGGGGCGTGGGTCGGCTCCTGACTTCCTGGGGACCCAAAAAGCGCATAAGCATTTTATGGGGATATCCGTCCCTTATTGGGCTTCCTTTTAAGGGGGTTTATATGGGATATCCCTATCCTCATTTTTGCTTATGTGCTTTTTTGGGGCCCTGTCTGCCTCCCAGAGACTCCAATAGATCCCTTAGCTGAGGACTATACCTCTATATTCATATTCGGGATCCTACTATAACTTAAGGTATATTCCATAATTAAGGAAGTTGGAGTCTCTGATCTTAGCAGGTTGAGGCTTTGGGGGTTAGGGCTTGAGGGTGTAGGGGCTTAGGGATTAGTGGTGTAAACGATTGTGGCATTTCGGGGTAATTTAGGCTTTTGAGGTTTCTAGGGTTTTGGCGGTTTACGGATGTCAAGCTTAATCTTCCGGGTCCAGGTTTTCAAAGGTTTGAATCTCATGATGAAAACCTAAACTGAAGATATACACTTGAGGGATTCAGGTTTGTAGAATCAGGCCATCTTACTATACAACTGGCTGCGGGCAGCTTCTGAAGGACCTCCCAAACAAGCCTGAACACTGGAATTGAATCGGTTCAGGGTGACAAAGGCTTTGACCGGTTTAAGGTTTTGGGGTCCAGAGATGTGGCTTCCGAGCCTGTCTACACCCCAAGTGTTAAGCTATGCTCGAAGATCTTTGACCTCAACACGCTTGCTTGATGCATAGGCCCCAAACCCTTAAGCCCTAAACCCCAAACACTTACACCCTTACCTTAAGGCTCCTGGACCCTCGTAGTGAAATCCCGGACCCTAGCCCCGAAAGCCGAAACCCTCCCCCAGAAAGCCCAAGACCCTCTTAGAAGCCTTAGGGTACACCCTTAACCGTAAGCCCCTACTTGGAGGGTCGGGGGACTTAGTAACTGGTTATTTTAGGGACTTATAAGTACCATAACCCCAATTAGGGTCCCTTTTAGGGTACTTATAAGCCTACTTACTACCTACTTACTACGTCCCCCGACCCTCCAAGTAAGCCCCTAAGCCCTGAACCTCCTGAGATGGCTTTGCAACCTCATCTTGCGCTCGTCTCTGCCACGTCAGGCCATCTTTTGGGATGGTCTTCTAGGTAGGCATTTGGGACATTTTATATTTTCCCTTATTGGGCTTAGTAGGACCCTATTTACGAATATTTTTCAGAGGCTTTAAGGGGCCAACCTAGTCTTTTGTGGGTGATCTATGACGGTTTAGGGTTTAGGGTTTTAACCCAAAGGGTCCAAGTATATACTAGTATAGTGTAGCATAGTGTATACTTCCGGGAGTAAGTACCTTCTGTTTTGGTGCTTGGACCGTTTGGGCAGGTGATCCAGGTTCCAAGTCTTTGGCGGTTTAGGGCCCTGGGCTTCATAATTTCTGGCTGGGGAGATGCGTCGGGGACCCACAGAGTCCATGTGTCCTTGAAGCACAAGTACGCCAAAAACATGAGGTCGCCGCAATTCTCGGGCCCAGATGGCTTTGTTTTGAGCTAGGGTCTCCCATTCAGAAATGAGCATGCAATGACCCTGCGAGAATCTAGAATGACTCCTCAGTATGGAGACATACCAGAAGCTATGAACACATCTGGGCACCCAATCAGCACCGCCCCATGTCTGATATTGTGTGCTTGGTGCAATGGTTTGACTGGGGTGTCGTTCAGTGGTAAAACGACTCAGCAGCAAGTTGCACTTCAAACATCATGTGTCACCTTAAGCCCCACAGAAGCCCGGAACTTAAAGCTTTGGAACTTATGAAGCCGGAACCCCTAAACCGTAAACCCTAAACCCTAAACCCTAAACCGTGGAAAGCTGCGAAACCTTGAATAACAGCCAGAAGCCGATGAGCCCCGAAGCTGTAACCATATTCTGTACAACAGCTCGTCCTCAAACCTGAAAGCTCCAGTCCAAAGCCGGGTTCATATTGGGGTTCTTGGTGGGTGTTTACCGCTTTCTTTAGATATTCTGCGAGTGTAGTTTTATGTTGGCGTATAGAATTGTTTAGGGGAAAACTGGTAAAGGAAACCCTAAGTCGCATCCTTAGCCTGCGAAGCCCTGGAAGGGAGCCGAGCCCCAGTTGCTGGCGACCTTGGTCACGCTTCCCGAGGTGTGGAGGGAGCAGGGAAAAGGGTCCTTACTTGGAGGGTCGGGAGACTTAGCACTAACTTAGTACGTTTAGTCAGTATGCATTATAAACGTACATATATGTTTTATGGAGAAAGAGCCGCCTCTGCCCTATAAACTAAAGGGCGTATCGCAACTGGGCTATCAGCAGCCCTAGACCAAACACCTTAAACCCAGTTTTGCAAAACGCTGCTAGCTGAGCCCTCCATTCTCCCAGTAGGGTGGTGGCATGGCCATCCTGCAAAACTTGAACCCTAAACCCAAACAATCGCTAAACCCTAACCCTAAACCCTAAACCTGGACCTTAAACCTGAACCCTAAACCCTATAGGGCTTCTGTGGATTCTTGAAGGGTTCCTGCTAACAAGGGTTCGAGAATGGCTGCTGTAAGGAATCGAACTTCTGAGGAGATTTAGCTGATTTAGCCATGATCCTACACGGTGTGTTAGTCGTAAGATTATGCTTCTGGTTGACAGTGCCGTTGCGAGCCGGCGAAGGGTGAAGCAAAGAGTCCTCCGCCCCGAGGTGCAAACCTAAGGGGTGAACCGCGAACGCCTAACTCAGCCCGAGGCACCAAAATATTTCGACGCACGTTGACATTTCGTGGCAACGACCGGTTTCAGGGATTCAGGGTCGGCAAGGACCGTCATTAGGCCGACTCACCCGCTTTCAGGGTCATGTTTCAACGTCCAAGCAAAGTGTTGCATAGCGTCTAGCCGCTTGTGTGGTCATTCAAGATGAATTTTCTGGAAGCCGTGCAGCAAGTTTATGACGGGAGTGGGCTTTGAAGTTTTGCAGTTATGGTTCTGAAGCTTTTTTACGTGGGCTTCAGCCTATGAACTTGTGGGTTCACTTGCCAAGTGAGGCCCCAAGGCCCTAAATCCCTAAACCCTAAACTCTAAACCCTAAAGTCCTTAAAAAGGGAGGTTATTCCGGCTCAAGGTAGGGTAGAGGCCCAAAAGTTGGAAACCCCATAGCCTCAATCCTGAATAGTCATGTATAGGGATTCCCAGCACTATTCGGCCTTAATGAGGTTTCCAACTTTATGTGGCGTACTGTATAGACATCCTAGGATGCCCAGTAGTACCCTTATTCCCTTTTTCTAGTCCTAGGTTCCTTATAAAGTTACCCAATACCAAAAAGAGAGGCCTTTTTATTCCTAGGCTACTGGGTATCCTAGCATCATACCTCCTCAAGGCGAAACCTCCAGAAACTCTCTCTACTGCCCTGACAAGCCGCCTGGAACCTAAACTTAAATCCTCAACTCCTGGTCCTGAACCTTTAAAGAAAACCTCTAAAACTTGAGCCCTAAACGCGACCTCCTGCTGCAGGCCCCACGAGACGTGCTTGAGAGCCTCTCGGCAAGCATCTGTAAGAGTTGGATTCTTATTGGGTGATCCCCTCAGGGTTTAGGGTTCAGGGTTTGGGCCACCCGACCCCGCATGAATCTTGGGTCAAGAAGAAAATGAAGAAGGTCAGTTGGTCGGCGGCTACATCTGCTGTCTACTTCATGTCGAACCACATATCCTTGACTGTCTGGTTCTTAGTAATAGGGAATGGGGGAATGGATGATGGACGCTATATTTTGGGGGGATTATATACCCAAAGCGTCCAAGTATCATTATGGGACATACTGAGACCCCCAAAGTACCCTATACGTATACACCAGAATGATACTTGGAGCCTTTGGGTATAGGGATCCATTCCCGCATTCCCTACTATGCACCAGAACACATTGCCAACTTCCTCAAGCAAGAGAATCGCTGCATACACTTCCGTCCCACTGAAATGAAAGTACCCCTGACAGACAGCTTATACAGTAGCTCAAGCCTTTGCAAATACGGCTGATGATATAAATCCTGCATTACCTTAAGGACCCTAAACTGTGGGAATTATGGTATATTCCTCATTACGGGTAAAGCAGGATTAGATCATCAACCGTAGTTGATCACTCTCGCCGCCGAGCCGACCCGCGCCACTCAAGATGATCCCCTTGTCGCCCTTACCTTATAACCCTGAATATCCTACCCTTTGAAGGACTCATATCAGGAGATCCTATTACGGAACCCCGAAAAAGGTATAGGTTTTTGCAAGTTGAGGCATGGGTTCACGCTAGTTATCATACAACATTCCGATCCCCGGGGCCGCTAGAGCACCCTACTTGGAGGTTTGTCTGTAGTTATTAGTAGGGTTATAAACAGGGGTAACTATACTTATAACACAAATTCGGGGACTTATGACCCCATGAACCTCCAAGTAAGGGCCCATGTGCCCAAATGGTATTCACTTGGGCTCTAAAGTACGAGTATGGGGGCCAAACTACGTGCTAGATGAATACATGGACCCTTGGGGGCAGGCCTGCGAGCCTACGAATCTCATAGCCGAGGTGCCGCTAGAGAAGCGCAATCTCAGTGCTCCGCTCTTGTCGGCGTTACGCGACTCGAAGCCTTCAGAAGCTTGTTGTTTGTAAGTGGTTTGGGCTTCAGTGGTTTAGGGGTAAGGAGTCAGGACTATGGCAAGTATCTGCGTTGATACTGATCGTTCTGTTCAAGTTTGTTATTACATCCGTCTGACTTGTTGTTTCTCCATTTGCATGTATCTGTCTGCACAGATGCGACTGTCTTATGCTTGTTATAGTCATGTGCTATACAGTGCTGCAGAACACATGTCCTTGTACTGCTGTCTGCACTGGTGCATGTATATGTTTATGTGCCTTTGTATGTATTTCTGTCCGTCTGTCTGTCTGTCTGTCTGGTACGTATGTATGTATTTGAATATGTATGCACATACATGTACGTACATGCATACAAGCGAATGTACGTCTGGACCAGTATGTGTAGTTGCACGTGTATATGTTCTTGTACATGTAGGTGTGCATGTATGCGTGTATGGATGCATGCAAACCAGTAAGTTTAGGTAGGCGGCAGGTAGGTAGGCAGGTAGGCAGAGCATGTAGGAGGCAGGTAGGCCGACGCCAGGTGAGTGTACACGCATGCACATGCATGAACTCCTACATACACACATACACACAACCATACTTACACACACGCACACACACACATACCTACCTACTTACCTACGTACATACATGCATACATACATACACATATACATAGACATAGACGTAAACATATACATATACGCATATACATGCACCGGAGCCAAGGTGGTCGCAAGAGGGTGGCGAAGGCTTCGATGTTACATGTGTTTCATAAGCAACTTTGTTCACATGTCTGCTGGAGCGCCCTGATTGCCCTGGGTGCTCTTGCTCCGGTCGAAGATGCCAAAAGGGTTTACGGTTTCAGACCGGAGGTGAGCCGGACTAGCAATCAAGAGACTCTACTATTCGTCAAGAAGTGGGTTTGCTAATCTGCCGTGGGTTTTTGTTGCATGGATTTCCCCTGTCGGGCTTGGATTGACCTTTGAAGCCCAAGGCTGCGGCCTGCAGGAAGATCTTATAGTGCAGCTGCGCTAGGGTTTAGTATTCTAGTATTAATATGGTATTCTTGTATTATCTTGTATGCATCCGCAGCGTCGTGCAAGCCTGACTTCTTCCCGAAGGCAACCGGGTATGTCTCTGAGGCTGTCAGACTCAGGTGGGAACTCCCCAGGAACCCTACCTTAACCCTGAATATCCTACTTTTTTAAGGATCCATATAAGGAAATCCTAATAAGGAGCCCTAAAAAGGTAGGATATTTGGGGTAACTTAGGGGTACTTAGAAATATTTTTTTAATTTTTGGTTAGGATAATCCCTAAGAGACAGCTAAATTTGTATTTTTTGCTAGGGTTCTAAGTTCAGTATAGGTAAAGGTAAACCCCAAAGCCTAAACCGTGGTTCTTGCTCCCTGGTCCGAGGCCGTGGGTTTTCGGCTCGGGATTTACAAGCCTAAGTGCCCGACCCTGCCCTGGGTAGTATCATTAGGGGGACCCCTTAAAGGGTACCCCTTCTGAACCCTACTTCTGGCTCTCTTAAAAGGGGCCTTATTGAGAGGGTCTATATCCCCAAGGGTCCCCCTGCTCCTAACTCCCCTGCCCCCGCAAGAGTTTCCCAGCTCGAATCGTAATCCTCTGTGCCCAAGTAAATGGGCATTTCGTTTTTAAGAGTCAAGGGCCTCTAATCTAAACCCTGCGTTGTATGGACCTCTTGAGAAAGAAACCTCTGGAGGAAAGCCCGGCACAGATACTAGATTCCACTGTATGAGCTACGGTCAATGAAGTGTCTCCGATGTGCACTGCTTGCCTTAATTTAGACATCCTTCGGATGGCAAGCGCCCATTTCGTGTCGCACTCTACTGTGCCCTTAGAATGCAAAACCAATCCCTAAAATTACAACCGGTGCTCTAGAACCCTATACAGGCTTGTAAATCCTACGTCCGAATACAAGAAACTGTTTGATCCCTAAGCCCTATAAACCCTAAACCCTGAACCCCAAATAACCTACTCTTTTGAGGACTTATATAAAGAAAGTATAGCAAGGAAACCTAAAGAGGAAGGTTTCATAGAGTTAAGGTAAACCCTGAAGCCCAAGCTTGGGGCAGGATTGAAGACGCCCGGCTGGAGAAGCCGGGGTCACCAGAAGCATGAGGTGAGCCACCTGGAAGTCGAGGGGTTGCGAGGGTTTAGGGGTGTTAGGGTCAGGGGTTTAGGGGTTTATGGTTGGGGGTTTAGGGTTTTGGGGTTTAGGGTCTAGGGTTTTGGAGGCTGCTATAGCTAAGTCTCCCAGTTGGCCCTTTTTACCCTTTTGTGGTCTTCGGTTCCTTCCATACCGAAACGGGAGCCCTTTTTCTTCCACTCTATACCCGCTCCGAGTGTCGGATCCCTGAAGCCCCATATCTTCATGGCCCATTCAAGAGTCTACGGGTATTCAACCGAAGCGGAAACCTTACCCTAAGGGTCCATGTACCCATATAGAGATACATGGGCATGAGTACATGGACCCTTAGGGAAACGTTACAACCTCTAAGAACTGTGATGCCGGGTCCTGCTTCCGTCCGAAGGTCTTGGCAGGGCGGCCGTATCTTCTTCAGGACAGACCTATCCCGTGCTATGCCCGTGGTGTTCACGACGATGCTACGACGCCTGTCTAGACCCCACTCCAAAACCCTGTACTCTAATCCCAAACCGGAAGCCCCGAACCCATAAACTCGGAGCCTAAATCCTGAATCCCTAAACTTGAACCGCTGTACTCGGAGCCCCCTATCTTAATCCCTGAACGCTGAACCCCTAAAATTAAACCCTAAAACCTGAAACGCTAACCTCTAAACCTGAAGGGTTTCAGCTTTTTGCCGTTGCGGGGGCAGTCAGACCCCAGAAGCCTCGTCGGTCTCGCATGTCCCATCAAAAACGGTCGCTGCTTTGAGCAGTTTAGGATTTAGGGATTTAGGGTGTAGGTGTAACTTCAGGATTGATATAAAGAAGTCATCAGGAACCCCGCAAAAGCCCAGCTTTCTTGTGCTTTTCGTGTGCTCCAGGCAAACTAACAAACACTAAAACTGCATGGTTCTTAGGAAGAAATGGGGGAAATGGCTTAGAATTGATTACTATAAGGGACCTGTAAGGGGAATATCATAGGGATCCATTCCACCACTCCCTAGTAAGAAGCAGGCAGAAAACCCTCAAAAACCTAGACTCTCAACTCCCTAAACCCTAGACCCCTAAACCCTAAAGCCCTAAACCCCTAAACCCCTAAATCCTAAACCCCTAAACCCTAAACCCCTAAACCCCTAAACCCCGAAACCCGAAACTCTCAGTTGGGAGTTTCAGCCCGCCAGGACATTGATGGAGCCCCCATGCGCCTAATCCCAGAAGGCTTCCTCAGGCAAAGCACCGGTCAGGGTTCTGGGTTCCTTAAAGGGTTCTATAAGGGATCCTTAAGAAGGTTTCAGTGTCTACTAGGTTCCTTAAAGCTACTATTTGCTTAAGAAGCACCCAAAAAATAAAAATAACAATCCCTATATTACCCCCATAAGGAATATATGTTTTATTTTTTGGGGGTTCTTAATCAAATAGTAGTAAGGGTTCTATAAGGGATCCTTAAGAAGGTTTCAATGTCTACTAGGTTCCTGCATGGTAACCTTGTTATAGGGTTCCTTAAATGGTCCTATGAGTGATCCTTAAAAAGGTGCAGGGTCTGCTAGGTTTCTGAGTGGTACCCTTTTGCGCGTTTTTATTTCACGGTGCCCTTATTAAAAACCGAGTAGTAGGGAAAAGGGTACCCTTGTTATGAAGGGGCTACTCAGCGACCTAGGGTTTAAGGGCTCCGGAGTTAATTGGGTTCAGGGTTTGGGATTTGAGGCTTGGCAGGCTTCTCAATTTCGGGTTCCCAGAGACTCCAATATCCCTTAATTGAGGAATATACCCTAAATTATATTAAGGATCCTACTATAATTTAAGGTATATGCCCTAATTAAGGGATATTGGAGTCTCTGGGTTGGGGGTGTAGGGCGGCCTCTTGACCTTATCGTGTTGCCGATCTGAATCGGCGCTTGAGTGGCGACTGGTGCCCGTGTGCGATGAACTTGGGCATCGTATGATAGGGGCCTGAATAATAAGGATAGCCTTACATTTGGGTGCATGTTCTACTATCACTACACTTAGAAAAAGGAACCGCTAAATTAGTATTGGTAATTTTGTAGGCCCCTATCGTCGTCTTCCAGTTGCAAGGGCAGTCAGTAACGAAGGCATCGCAAAAATGTAGTTTCAATTGTAATTCCTTTCTTGTAGGGTTTTCCAGATATAGAATCAGGATCCTCTCAGCTAACCCCCGAAAAAGAGCTACAATGGAGACTGTCGGTAGTAGGTAGGGTTTCTACTGCATCTTCGACCTTGCTTCAGTGCATTGCAGGCCCAACATCTTCCTCGCGTCAGAGCTATCTCGTACGGTGGTGGACTTCAGCAAAGCCAATTCCGCAGCGCGGCAAGTTTCTTAGCTTTGGTTAGTCGGGAATGGAGGAGTGGGTACGATTATAACTACTATTCCCACCATTCTTCCATTCCCTCCTCACCAAAGGAAAGGTTTTTGGGTTTCGGTTTTATGCAGATGTCAGAATGCATCATGGGCATTCAAGCCTCGCTCTGCTGCCCAGCAACCACCACCAACAGCAACAGCAGCAGCAGCCGGTTTAGGGTTTAGGGTTCCAGCACCAGCACCAGCAGCAGCAGCAACAGCAAGCACCAGCACCAGCACTCGGATTAGAGCTTAGCCCGCAATGCTAATCCTGAACTTGACAAACCTAAGTCCTTTAACCCTACACCTTTAGGTCTCCTTAGTATGAGTTCTTTATGTGGGTCCTCAATTTTCCAGGGGTGGGAGATTAGGGTTAAGGGGTCTTAGGGGGGGCGGGGGCGGTGGGGCCTTAAGCTTCAGACGTCAGGGGCTTCTTGCTGTACAGTAGAAGCCCAAAAGTTGGAAACTCAATAGCCTCAATGCTTAAGACTATATGTATAGGGAATCCCTGCTCTATTTGGCCTTAATCCGGTTTCCAAATTTATCGGGTTTACTGTAGTAGGTTTTCAACTTTCGGCGATTCCGGGGAGCTATTGTCCGAGGAGCTAAGATCGGGAATGGATGCGAGAGAGCTTTAGGGCTTGGGGTTTAGGAGAATGTCGTTGAATTTCAATTTTAATTCGAATTAAATTCGATTTTCAGCCTTTCTTCGGGTGTTGGGTTTAGGGCCTAGGGTTTAGTCCGAAGCAACCGTTGAAGCGCAGAAACTTCGGGAACCGAATAAGTGGCCTTCAGCCCCCATAGGTAAGCAAACCCGGGAGCGCGAAGTTAAAACCCGAACCAATACACCCACATTTCGAATTCTGTGTAATCTGTAACAATATGATCCCTTGCCGTCCCTGTTTGAAGTTTGCAGACAATATACCCCCAAAGCCCTGGACCAAGGATACAGGCTTCCATAGTCCAAAGCCTACAGCCTCAGGACAGCATCGTTTGGGATGCCTTCTGCGGCCAAGGCACGCTCGTATCATCGATTCGGAGAGGTACTGTAGTGAAGTCAAATTTCTTGAGGACAGGGGGTGTTCTGATGATGGAGGATCTCTACTAAGGCTCATGTTGCGTATGTATTTGGCTGAGCATATAGCCCTTCTCTTCAAGGCGAAGAGTATTTGGATGATGAAGGTTCTAGACTAGGTCACATGTCATACCCTACACCCTAAACCCCTAAACCCAAAACCCTAAACCGTGGCTCTGAGTCATGCCTAATGCTGAATCTTTACTCTCGGGTCACATTGGCTGCGTGTCGAAAGGACGAAAGACACACTGGGGGGGGGAAGGCCCCTCCTTCCGTCACACTTTGCAGAGTTGCACCATATCCCTGTTCTACCCTAAGGGTCCATGTACCCATATAGTTACAAAACGGGGGACCCTGGGCGTGCACTTTTCAAGGAGTTTTAGCGCTAGCTTCAGCATCATTTACGCAATACTTAATGAGAGAGGTACGCTCCCTGCAATAACGGAGTTTTGCTGCAGATGACACCTCAAAAGAACCACAAAAGACCTAAACACCAAACAAAAAACACAAGAACCAAAAAAAACAAAAGAACCAAAAAAGACAAAAGAACCAAAAAAAACAAAATAACCAAAAAAAACAATTGCCAGAGACTCCTGGACTGAAATTTCCATGGCCGGAGAGTGTCGGATTTTTGGTTCTTTTGGTTTATTGGGTTCTTTTGGTTGTTTTGGTTCTTTTGTTTTTTTTGGTTCTTTTGTTTTTTTTGGTTCTTTTGGTGTTTTTGATTTTTTTGGTTCTTTGGGTTTTTTGGGGTTCTTTTGGAGGTGGCTGCCAACCCAAAAAAACATCAAAATACGCGCGCGCCCAGGGTCAGTGGCACACATTGGGGTGGCAATGCACTCTCACGGCAAGGCTCGTAGACAATGCACATGTGTACGTGTGAGTACTGCAGTTGGTCTAGTTTAAAGCTGTTACATTGTCACTCTTGTAATTAGGCTTATCGGCGTCTGCGGGATACAGCGACCAATTATTTGTTGAGCTCCATTTGTTTTACAGTAACTACCATTTTTACTGTTAATACGGTGACCATTAAATGTCTCTGAAATATGCAGGTCGATTTTGTTTCGCCGATATTTTTGTGTTTTTGCAGGAAAAACACCAGATGAAGTGTATAGTACCGGTTATCATATTGTCGTAAATTACTACAGTTACTTAATCTTATTTCAATCTCACATAGGCTGTTCACAGCATACTAGAAAACTTGGATGTGCATAGATACATGTGCGTGTGAAATATGTATGTATGCATATATATATATATATATGTATATATAGGTACACATACGTCAGTGTGTATGAGTACCCATTTTTGAGATGTATATATGTGTAAACTGTGCGGATGTATACATAGAATACAAGTACTGTCGTATGCTAAACGTTCTTTTACTTCGTAAGTAAAGTTGAAGGCATAATCAGCTAATCAGGCTTACTTCATTTGTTTGCACAGTTACTGATTTGTTTATCACCACGTTACTGTATAGGCGACCTATTTACCAGTTTCAAGTACTGCAATTGGGCACAGTCCCCCGGACTCTATAGTTAAGGGTCCTTTAAGGGTACCATAAGGGATCCTTTAAGGGATCTAGAAGGGTTTAGGGTATAAGGGTCCATGTACTCATATAGTATATACATTGGCCTTAATGTAGTCCCTATACAGGTACTTTGGGCCTCATGCATCTCTATATGGGCACATGGACCCTTAGGGAGAGTTGACTTGTTATAGCGCCAAATGATTAGTAATTAATGTGTGTTTTTGCTTCTGGGAGGGTATTTTATGGTATAGCTATATACCACTTACCACGACCCTTGTACCCTCAAATAGGGGTATATTATGGTTCCAAATAAGGGGCATTTAGGGTCTAATAGAGGGTAGATGGAGGGTCTAGGTAGGGACCATGGGAAAATACCTTAACCCCAAGTAACCTACCCTTTTAAGGACTTATACAAAGAAATCATATTACGGAACCCTAAAAAAAAACGGAGGTTCCTTAGGGTCCAGGTAGGGTTTAGGGTTGAACTGTTCAGAGCTAGGGTTGACGTTTTTAGGGTTTTCAGGTTTAGGGATTCGCCTTGAAACTCCCAAAATAGGGATTCAATGTAGCAAAATCAATCCTTGACGCCAAAACTCCCGTGTCTGCAATTTCATAATCCAAGATCGGCGAAACCCGTGGCCCTGGACCCAAAACAGAACTTTTATACCCTGCACCCCTAACTGCTTAACAGCCCTTTCAAGAACTCTTATACTTATACCCTAAACCCCTAAACTCGAAACCCTAAAGCCTAAACCCTGTGGTCATCCACTCCGAAGGCCTCTTGACGCTTCCCCTGGCAGCCGCCGGGAGTCGGCTTGTAGCCTTGGACCGGTCGCAGCCAGCACCTGGGAGAGAAAAGGAGCTCAGTGACTCCAATAACACTTAATCAAGATATATATATATATATATATATATACACACACACCTTAAACTGTATTAGGATCCCTAATATGATCCAATATCCCTTAATTAAGGAATATATACCCTAAGTTGTATTAGGATCCCTAATATGATTTAAGGTGGTATATTCCTTAATTAAGGGATATTGGAGTCTCTGGGGAGTTTAGGGTTGAGGGCTGAGAGGGTCTTAGACCGGCGAGGAGGGATTAGGCATTGGGTTTTAGGACTCTTGTGCTTGAGGGCGTAGCTTCAAGGATGGGATGGCTTCTTAATCCTTGAGGCTTCAACCTTTTTTGCTTAGGGCTAGTGCTGTTTCATTTGTGTGTGTGTGTGTGGGTATGTGTTCTTGCATGTGTGTGTGTGCGTGTGTGTCTCCTTGTGTTTCTGTGTGTGTGTGTGTGTGTGTTCGTGTTGATGTTTGGGAGGGGAGGGAGGGGAGGATGGGGAGAGCGTTTGATTTGTGGGGCTTAATGCGGCTTGAAATTGTTGATGCTGTGACTGGGTCGCCTCTTTTCGTGTGCGCATTGCAAGGGGAGTTCACACAGAAGAGCTAGAGCTTTTGAAATAACTTAGAGGACATCGCGATTAAAACTTTAATCCATTAGTGGGCTGTGTGTTTAGAGCGTCGGGCTTTGAGTTTCGAACTTCGGCTGTAGAGCTTGGCAGGTAGGGTTTCGGGGTTGGGCTTTGGGTTTGCAGCTTCGTGCTCAGAGCTTAGATTTGTTGCCTTACAATGTAGCAGGACCACCATCATCATCATGACAACCACCATCACCAGCACAGAAGCACACACACACACACGCACGTACCCACACGCGCGCACGAGCACACACACGCGCACGAGCACACACACACACACAAACACACACACACACACACACACACACACACACATACACACACACACACACACACACCACCAGTATCATCACATTCGCGAGCGCACACACACACACACGCCACCAGTATCATCACATTCGCGAGCGCACACACACATGCACAGTGTGGCAACAACAACAACAGCAACAGCAACAGCATCAGTAACAGCAACAGCAGCAGCGACAACAACAGCAACATTATCAACATTAGCAGCAAGAAAGGCAACGACAGTGACAGCGACACCAGCAACAACAACTACAACATCGACAGCAGCAACCACGACGACGACAGCACCAACAACAATGACCACAAAGACAACATCAACTACAACTTCAACAATTACAACTACAACAAGAAGCACACCAAGTATCACCAACAACAATACAACACCAACAGCAACAACGAGAGCAATAAGATCAACACCACCACAAGCAGCATCAACCACAACATCATGTAACTCTAGACTCTAGCATTATTAACAGCAAACATGAACTTACCTATAGCACTATCATGAACCACACCATCGGCAAAACGCAGCAGCAGCAGCAGCAGTGCAGCAGCAGTGCAGCAGCAACAATCGCATCATCATCATCATCATCTTCTTCTTCTTCAAATGTGTCACCACCACCGCCACCACCACCACCACCACCACCACCACCACCCCCGCCGCCACCACCGCCACCGCCACCGCCACCGCAACCGCCACCGCCATCGTCATCATCGCAATTTTAATAACCACCCTCACCATCGTCAACACCATCACCATCTTCACAATCTTCGTCACCACCATCTCCACCATCATCAACATCGCCGTCATCCGCATCATCATCGTTATCATCAACAACTTCATCAACAACAGCCATGTTTAACCATCCGCTTCGTCATCATGATCATATCCATCGCCATCATCATCACTGTCGTCGTCATCATCATTACCATACTCGTCTTTGCCAACACTCTTCTCAGCATCAGCATCATCTGTCATCACCGTTGTCGTCATTGTCATCATCATCGTCCTCATTGTCATCACACGCATGTTGGCAGCAAACCGCAGCCACCACGACAGTCATCATCTTCATCACTAGCATCATCGTCACCATCACCATCATTCATGACCTCCAGTACTCATAATTTTCAAACAGCACTTGACAGAATCCGAAGCATTGCAGTGCAAAACATTGAGTGCGACCAGCCAAGCAGGCAAGTTCACTTAATCCCACGAGATCGAGAGTGAAGGCTGCACTGATTTGTTCTGGCACCGAAGCGCAAAGCGCCGAACCTCGTCCGGCAAATCCTACACTACAACCGCTCCGAATGTTGCAAAGAAGCTCCAATGGTCCCAACCACACCAAAACTCAAACCTGGGGGTTGCAACGCCCGTGAAGAAGCCAGACGAGTTCCACGAACCCCCAAAGCCCAGACACGGAACCCCCAAAGTAAGGCGCACTCCCTCCAAACCACGAACACCCTAAAGGGGTCGGGATCATGATTCTTATTCCCCGAAACCCTAAACACTATACCCCAAAGACCCTAATGTAGGGGCCTTAATAATTAGAATATCGGTCTTGGGGCCCACTATACTATAACTATATAGTAAGGAACCTCAAAACAGCATTGGTGCTTATTCAGGCTCCTATATCATCCAAATTGCTTTAAGGCTCAAAACACCCCAAGCCCTAAAACCCTAAACCCTGTCCTAACTGTTAGCGCTCCTCTATTGGTACTTGTTTCAGGCCCCTCTATATATATATATATATATATATTCTCCTAGCTGTTAAAGCTCCTTTCTCCGCTTTCTGAGGCTCTGGAGGCGCTCCAAAGCAACCTGAAGGCCCAAAGCCTGACGGCCGAAGTTGTGCCTGGACCCCAGCAGGTTAAGGGTTTAGGGTTTAGGGTTTAGGGTAGGTAACCTTTAAAGGATAGTTCCTATATAATCCCTATATAACCCAAAAAGGTTAACCTTGAGTTCCCCATGATGCCCGACAAGTAGGTTAAGGGTCTATAGGAGGTTCAGGGCCAGGGTTTAGGGTTTAGGGTTTGGGGTTATAGGGTTTTGGGCTTATGGGGTTTAGGGTGTAGGGATTTAGGGTTTAGGGTTTGTCTAGGTTCCTGAGTAGTACCCTTTTCTGTTCTAGGGGCCCCCCCTTATAAACCCGAATAGTAGGAAAAAGGCTGCCCTTATGATGAAGGAGTTACTCAGGAACCTCGAAGTTCAGGGTTTGTAGGAGGTTTAGGGCTAGGGTTTCGGGACTTAGGGCTGTAGGGTTTAGGGTTTAGGAAAGAAGAAGCCTAGGGCTTGTAGGGCTGTAGGGTTTAGGGTTTAGGAAAGAAGCTATCAACAATCAAAGCTACGGGTTAAGGCTGAGGTCTGGGGGTACTATAAGTTTTCAAATCACCTACAATGAGCTGTATACCCCAAACCCTAGAGAAGAGTAGCTATAGGTTATGACCCCTTAACTCTACCTTAAGCTACCAAAGCCTACTTTTTTGTAGGATCCCTATAAATTCCATATTAGGGTTTTACAATAAGAACCCACAAAAAGTAGGGTTTGGGATTTTAAGGTAGGGTATAACACCCGGCCAAAACAACGTTAACAGGTTCTTGCATACCTGGTGAGGGCTTAAGGCCTCGAGTCGAGGATTTAGGATTCAGCGGGTTTGGGGATTAGGGTTTAAAGTTTAGGAACTAGAGCTTATAGGATTAGGGACTAGAGTTTGGGGATTAGGGTTTAGGGAGTAGGGTTTAGGGTTAAGGGCTTAGAGTATGTTGCTTCAATTGCGGAGAATTCCTCCGGAGCGGATCCTTGGGTAAGGCGGCGGTCAGCAGGTTCCTTTTCAGTATAAATCCTAAGCCCCTAAGCCCCTAATCACGTGTAAGAGCCCTGATTATATGGGTATTTGTCAAAATTATAGTCTTTTTTCGGGTACCCTAAATATAGGTGCCATATTATCTTAAGGACCCAGAAAGGGACCATAATTTGACAACCACCCATCTAAATGTTGGATGCACCACAGAGTCATAGGACGCGCAAGTCAAGCTTGTTCTATGGGGTCCGAGTCCTTTCCGTTTCGCGCTCGACATGCTGCACATCTGCGGGGTGTCGGGTCAACCGCTGGAATCTCTGGACCTGGCGAGCTTTCACCAGACGCTTCCGGAAGGGATGTCTGCAGTTCGGGCACTGAAGCAGCGCTTGCACAGCAAGTTTGGGCTGTCAAGGTTCAGGCAAAGTCTTTTCTATCTGTTCTATGATGACGATCAGGAGAAGAAGGAGGAGGAGGAGGAGAGTAACGTCGATGTTCTACGTGACGAACAAACGTTGAAACCCGGGCAAGTTCAGGTCGTACATCTAAGCTTCTGCCACGCATCTGAAGCTCAAGTGGAAGCGCTTCTGGATGCTGCAAGGAGCGGCCGAGCAGCAGAGGTGGAGAGTATTCTTCAAAGGCCGCAAGAGCCAGATTTAGAATGCTTGGCCCACCCAAAAATGACCGCACTATTCGTGGCATCAGAGACCGGCCACTTCGAGGTGACACGCCTTTTGCTGGAGGCCAATGCGGACAAGGACAAGGCCGTTGAAAATGGCGTCACCCCTTTGTACGTCGCAGCTCAGCATGGACACGTGGAGGTGATGCAGCTTTTACTGGAGGCCGATGCGGACAAGGACAAGGCCGATCAGAATGGCGCCACGCCGTTGTACGTCGCAGCTCATAGTGGACAGCTGGAGATAATTCAGCTTTTGCTGGAGGCCAATGCGGACAAGGACAAGGCCGATCAGAATGATGCCACCCCGTTGCACATCGCAGCACATAGAGGACAGCTGGAGGTAATGGAGCTGTTGCTTGAGGCCAATGCGGGCAAGGACAAGGCCACACAAAGTGGCGTCACCCCTTTGTACGTCGCAGCTCAGAATGGACACGTGGAGGTGATGCAGCTTTTACTGGAGGCCGATGCGGACAAGGACAAGGCCGATCAGAATGGCGCCACCCCGTTGTATGTCGCAGCTCATAGTGGACAGCTGGAGATAATGCAGCTTTTGCTTGAGGCCAATGCGGACAAGGACAAGGCCGATCAGAATGACGCCACCCCGTTGCACTTTGCAGCACATAGTGGACAGCTGGAGGTAATGCAGCTGTTGCTTGAGGCCAATGCGGGCAAGGACAAGGCCACACAAAGTGGCATCACCCCTTTGTACGTCGCAGCTCAGAATGGACACGTGGAGGTGATGCAGCTTTTACTGGAGGCCGATGCGGACAAGGACAAGGCCGATCAGAATGGCGCCACCCCGTTGTATGTCGCAGCTCAAAGTGGACAGCTGGAGATAATGCAGCTTTTGCTGGAGGCCAATGCGGACAAGGACAAGTCCGATCAGGATGGCGCCACCCCGTTGCACATCGCAGCACATAGTGGACAGCTGGAGGTTGTGCAGCTGTTGCTTGAGGCCAATGCGGGCAAGGACAAGGCCACACAAAGTGGCGTCACCCCTTTGTACGTCGCAGCTCAGAATGGACACGTGGAGGTGATGCAGCTTTTACTGGAGGCCGATGCGGACAAGGACAAGGCCGATCAGAATGGCGCCACCCCGTTGTATGTCGCAGCTCATAGTGGACAGCTGGAGATAATGCAGCTTTTGCTGGAGGCCAATGCGGGCAAAGGACAAGGCCACGCACTGTAGCGCCACCCCTTTGTACATCGCATCTGAGAAAGGACTGAGGTAGTGCAGCTTTTGCTGGAGGCCAATGCGGAAACGGAGAAGGCCACAGGGAAAAGGGCCACACCTTTCATGATTGCAGCTCAGTTTGGACATTTGGAGGTAGTGCGGCTTTTGATGGAGGCCAACGCGGACAAGGACAAAGCCAATCAGAATGGTGCCAGCCCTTTGTACATCGCAGCTGAGAAAGGACTGTGTGAGGTAGTGCGGCTTTTGCTGGAGGCCAAGGCGGACAAGGACAACCCCGAACAGAGTGGGGCTAGCCCTTTGTACATCGCAGCTCAGAAAGGACTTTTGGAGGTAGTGCAGCTTTTGCTAGGCCAATGCGGAAACGGAGACGGCCACAGAGAAAGGGGCCACGCCTTTCATGATTGCAGCTCAGCTTGGACAGTTGGAGGTTGTGCGGCTTTTGATGGAGGCCAATGCGGACAAGGACAAGGCCAATCAGAATGGTGCCAGCCCTGTGTACATCGCAGCTGAGAAAGGACAGTGTGACGTAGTGCGGCTTTTGCTGGAGGCCAAGGCGGACAAGGACAATGCAAAACAGAGTGGCGCCAGCCCTTTGTACATCGCAGCTCAGAAAGGACAGTGTGAGGTAGTGCGGCTTTTGATGGAGGCCAATGCGGACAAGGACACGGCCAATCAGAATGGCGCCAGCCCTTTGTACATCGCAGCTGACAGTGTGAGGTAGTGCGGCTTTTGCTGGAGGCCAAGGCGGACTAGGACAAGGCCTTCGAAGATGGCACCACGCCTTTGTCATCGCAGCTGAGCACGGACATTTGGAGGTTGCCCGCCTTTTGCAGGAGCCCAAAGCGTAAAAGGCTGGATGCCCGTGTAGACTAGACTGATAGGGATAAGTGATAGACAGCTACTCTGTGGGGCCCTGCGTTCTGCCACACATAGTCCTCTTATAATTAAGCGGATATGGGTTTGGGGCCTTTTCGGGCTGAAAATGCTATGGATTAGGGGCCTTGTGGGTTTTGCATGACCGGAGCCTCATAGACTTGAGATGCGACATGGAAGCCCCAAAACCTATGGTCTTTGGGGTTTCGGGTTTAGGGTTTACAAAAGACCTTCACGTGGGAGATGAGCTTCAGAATATCAGATACCTCTACATAGAGGCCAATGGGCTCTCAAACCCTCTTACCCGTATTCCGCTAGAGGCCCTACTGTGCCCTGAAACCGTGGACACTCATCTTGAAACCGCGTGCCTCCAGGTGTGGAGACCTCGGCATCCCTGTGTTTCTCCAGAGGTTGTTGGCAGCGCTGCCGACAAGGCTCTGAATCCGGAGTGCTACCGTTGATGATGTAAATCCTCCATTACCCACAATAAGGAATATACCATTATTCCCAAAGTCTAGGGTCCTTAAGGTAATGCAGGATTTATACTGTATCATCAACCGTATAAATCATTCTGCGATGAACGCCAAGTGCCAATGTAATTGCATGCGGGTTTTTATGGTTACGTATCAGAATGATCAGTATATGTGTGGTGGCGAGTGACGCAGAAGTAGCAGTAGGAGCAGGAGCAGGAACAGTGGCAGCCAGCTGTTGGGGTCGGGGTTGCAGGTTCTGCCAGTTTCTAGGCTAGCTCTTTACATTTTACGGTGCGATATCACAGAACGGACATGTGTTGCAGGTCGACGATCTCCCGGGACACTCAGGAAGAGGGAGACTTCAGCGAGGACAGGCTCGAGTAGTAAGGGCTCGGATAAGAGCTTGGGGTAAGGGTTTCTGGTTCAGGGTTCAATTTTTGTCGGATGCAATTCTTGGGGCCAGATCGTGTGGAGTTTCAGCCCAGGTGTGTGCTTCCCAAAGCAGGCACAATGACGTTCAGGATGTGCACGAGTCACCAACACATTTACAAGACACCGCGTGCCCTCAAACTACAAAAGTAGTTGTCGATTTCCTTTGGACTTGGTTGCGCAAACGCTCTCTGCCTTGCGTGCCAGTCAGACCGAGCAGACTGCATCCGCTGCCGCTTCTACGGAGGCTGCTCCTACTCCGACTCCTCAGGAGTGGCTGCCAGCACCAGGGAGGCAGCTGTGGAAGGCGCCAGGGAGGGTGTCAGGTAGGCTGCTGCAGCGGCAATGGCCGAGGCTTTCGCAGCGGAGCAGAGGAAGAAGAGAGAGAAGATGGAGGAGTAGTCCGTTCTGACCCCCGTATCAAGCTTCCATTGTTGCAAGTACTTATCTAACCCATACACCACAATAAATCCTGAGCATTCGTACGATGTGCACTGTTTAGACCAACACAGACACTGAAGTGAAACCTAGGCAGTGTTGGGAATTCCCTAACCCCCCTGAACCATGAACTCTACACCTAAACCCCAGAAGGACTATGGCCCGTCGGCCCGCCATAGTGGCTAGTTATTCATTGGATCCAGTTTTCAATGTGTCCAGCAAACTCTAAACCCTGAGCCCTGTGAGCCCTAAACCCCAAACCCTATGAGCCCCAATGCCTCATGGTTCACTTGCTTCGGGGTCTGCGTGCCTGCCGTGCTGAAGCCTTAAATTTTCAATTCCAATCCGAAAACGCAGCACTAGTCATGGTTATTGGGTTTTAGGATGAGGGTTTAGGCTTTAGGACGTTCAAGGATGTTTAGAGGTTAGGGTTTGGGATATTCTCATTAATCATTATGTTACTCCAGCTACCTGAATTAAAAAAAAGGCCTGGCTCAGGCCTTACGTTTCGTTGGCCTTATTGGTTTATGGGATTCCAGGAAGCTGAAGAGAACTTGGTTCAACGGGGTAGGGTACCAGGAAGCCTTAGGGATCAAAGCTGACCTGAGCTGCGCGCGAAGGATGAGACGGAGGAAGCAGACCAAGCAAGCCAAGGCCGGGTAAAGCATATAGGTAATCGGAAATGTTGCGAGTGTGTATACGTTCCCGCCTCTGTCGTGAGTGCAGCTTTGGGATTTTGTTGCGTGCGGGTGGTTACCAGCAAAAAACAACTCTATATCAGATGAATTACTGATGCTCTGTGTTGCGATTGCCATCAGCTTTCGGTTCGTGGCGATGAATCTGAAACTTGCGATTAGGCTGGTGATGATAATGAGGGTTAAAGTTTAAAGTTTTCCGAAAGCAACCTGAGCCACAAGAAGGGGTGCATTGTGTTGATAGTACATGTTGGTTAGACATAGTGTGCATATGTTTCCATGTATGTGGAGTTGAGGTCTCAGGGCTCGGGTATTCGGGTCGGGGTAACATCCATCACGTTTCGTGTTGGTTCAACCGGTCGACTGTGCTTTGGATGTTGCAGTTTGGCCGTCAGGGGATTTGAGTACGAATAGGATATCAGATAAGTTTGAGGAGTTGTGAGGATGAGGGGGGTTGGGGTGTTCATGCGGAGACTATGCGAGTGGAGAGGACCGGTTCGCTCCTTTTTCTCGCTTGCTGCTATGGCGAAAACGACGAGGACGACGATGATGATGCTACTACTTGAACGACGATCTCTACGACGATGTCGACTACTTCTACATCTGTTGTACGACGACAGTGAAGGCGACAATCACTAGCAGCATACCCACCACTATCACGAACACGATTGCTGCTACTACTGCTGCTCCATCTACTGCTGCTGCTGCTGCTCCTGCTGCTCTTACTACTACTACTACTACTACTACTACTACTACTACTACTACTACTACTACCACTACTACTACTATTTTCAATTGAACGCTGCGCGAGCGTGCTCTGCGCTTTGCGGGCGCCTTTGGTCTCGTGCACTCGTGAAACTGCTTCTAGCATGCATCGCTCATACCTCTCGAATCAGCTCAAACTACTGAAAACTACAGCTACAAAAGCTTCCTCCTCCGACACCTTGGTGTGAACAGACGCGTCCATCTGTGCACCTGTCACAACAATTAGGCCGTACCTCAGACGAAGCCGACACCTGGAGTATCCGTCTCGTGGCGTCCCACACGGATTACTCATGTTGAAAACAGAAGGCCGTAAGGGTCATGTGCTCATGACCGCATGTACCTGCATGCATCGCCGATGGAGTGAGGCAGTTGGCAACTTTGACGTGGGCAACTCTCTGATGCAGTGGTGTGCTGTTTGTAAGCAAGGCTAGCTCGCGGTTCACAGGCTTCCGAAGAGATTTGCTAAGCGTCGGAAGAGTTCCGAATTCCCAGAGTCTGTGACATAAGGGATCAGAAAGTCTGTGACATATCTCTATCCTCACTGGTCGTGACCTTTTGGCCACTGCTGGGAGGAGTGGGAGTAACTGTGCCAGGACCACTGCTGCCACCAATCCCAGTCGTCCTCCTGGGAGGAGCGTGCCTGCCTGGCCCACTGGGTCGAGGAGGAAGAAGAAGGGGCGACTACTACTACTACTACTACTACTACTACTACTACTACTACTACTACCACTACCACTACCACTACCACTACTACTACTACTACTACTACTACTACTACTAGTACTACTATTACTACTACAACAACAACAACTACTACTACTACTACCACCACTACCACATCCTCCGACTACCACCACTGCCACATCCTCTTACTCCTACTCCTACTACGACGACGACTACTACTACTGCCACCACTACTACGACTACTACGACTACTACGACTACTACGACGACTACTACTACCACCACCACTACTACTATTACTACTACCACCACTACTCCTGCTACTATTACTAATGATACTACTACTACTACTACTACTACTACTACTACTACTACTACTACTACTACTACTACTACTACTACTACCTTACCACTACTGCTACAACGGCTGCTGCTGCTGCTGCTGCTTCAACTCCTGCTGTTACCCTGAGGGTCCCAGTACCCAATTTTCATATACTCTCCAAAGTAGCAACCTACACAACCACTATCCTAAAACCGAAAACCTAATTTTTATGTCTTTTCGACCCTTAAGGTTAGACGGGACTACGACAACAGCGGCTCAGCAATATTGTCGTTTGCATTACAGTACCTGCATACTCAGCGTTGTCAGTGCATCTTCATAAGACTGTGAACCATGCAGATGACAACCAGCCGTTCGTGGGTGCGGTGCCCACCACGCTGCCGGCACCAAATGTCCTCGTTGTGGCTGCTTGGCCTGAAGTATGCTTTGGGTATGCATGCACTCAGGGTTTACGGCATCAGGTTGCGAATGCAAGGTATTCTTACATTTCCTTTGCTTTTATACATAAACATGTGCATGTATATATATATATATATACAGATATATATATATATATATATATAGATGTGTGTGTATATATATATGTACGTGCATATTTATGAACATCTGTATATGTGTAGAGATAAGCATCAGAACGATTGCAGCACCTAGCACGATGCAATGCTGCGGTTGACTCACAGGTTTTTTGGCCCTGACACTGGCAAATTGGACGCCGGCAACGAAGAACAAGTGGTGTTTTCGTTCCGGACCGTACGTTCAATTCAGCCACCACAGCTTGCCCGACGAGCCCTCGCGGCAGTTCCGGGCAATCCGGATTCAGTCCCACGCCAAAGTCTAGAGAGTTTCGAATCTCTTGAAGCGCTCCGAGGGTCAAGCAGGAGTCCTCTTAAAGATATTGGGTAGTTGTCAAAATTATGGCCCTTTTTTGGGTACCCTAAATATTACGTAGGTGCCGTATTATAATAAGGACCCAAAAAGGGCCCATAATTTTGACAACCACGCATCTGTTATACGTAATGTTTCGCGTGTGCAGTTTGAGAAGTCGGCCATGCAGAACTATCCGGGGGTCCCGTAGCTCCTCAGCCTTGCACTTAAAAACGGACCGTTCTCGTGCAAAGGACCCCGGACGGAACGGTCTTCCGAAACCCTTCCGTCGATTCGCGCTGGATCTGCGAGTGCCGACGCTGATCTATGTACCTTGGAATGCGCTAGCATCGCTGCTGCTTTGATGAACCGTGTGAAGCATGCTAGGTTCCATGACGAGCAATGATGAATCACCAAAGGCCATGCCCTAGATGTGTCCAAAGTCGAAATATTACGGTGTAGTGCCAGAACAAGCTCAAACGGTGGGATTCTGACAGTACGAATTCTACAGGCAAAAGCCCTTACCATCAGGGTTTCTCGGATTTCGGCAGGATAGGGGCAGGATGTACTGTCGAATAGAACGTGCATTGTGTACTCTAATTTGCGTAATTATGTATACAAGCTTCGAGTGTTTGCCTATGCATGCTTATAATAAACCTGCATATATGCATATGTATAAGTATGGATGTATATATAGGCAGATAGACCGATAGATACGTAATTAGATGGACAGTGCTTGTGTGCGTTCAGGCACTTGGAAAAGTACCAATTCATGCACGTGTGTTGTGTGTATGGACATGTGTATGTATACGTCTGTGTGTGCGTGCGCACACCTGCATCAGCTGATTGGTGTCTTATGTAGTCTACAAGGTTTAAGCATTCAAGCATGTCTTCTTGTATGTATGTCTTTTTGTATGTACGTATGTATGTATGTATGTATGTATGTGCCCTAAACCCTAAACCCTAAACCCTATCTGTCTATCTGTCTGTCTGTCTGGTGCTCCGTCTCCCCGGCTCTCTGTCTCTGTGTCTGTTCGTGTCTGCAAAGACCCCAAACTCCCAACTTCAAAGCATTAAGTCGCTAAGTCTGAACCCCAAGCGCCAAGCCCTGAACCCTAAACCGTAAGCCCCTAAACCCTAAACCCCTAACCCCTAAACCCCTAATCCCTGTACCCTAACCCGAAACCCCTAAACCCCCAAACCCAAGCAGCATACCTCAAGATTGGAGCCCTAAGCCACACATCCACCAGGTCCTGCAAGCCAGCCCTCAATCTCTGAAGACTCTGCGCAAGAAAAGCTTGACACAGCAAAAGATGATAGATTTGTTCATGTGCTTAGGGCTTAGGGTATAAGGTTCATGTGCTTGGGGCTTAGGGTTTAAGGTTCATGAAACCCTAAACCCTAAACCCTAAACTAGGTTGGAAGTGGTCGTGGCCTGCTTCGGGACGTGGCCCTGCTCTCGAAGCGCGGATACCAGCTCAGGCCGCTTGGGGTGCCGTTCGCTTTGGGATTCGGCATTTAGGGCTTCAGGGTTTAGGGTTTAGGGTTTAAGGGTTTAGGGTTCAGGGATTTAGGTTTAGGGCTTCTCGGCTAGAGCTCTTGTTATTTTGTAAGCTTTCGTGCAAACCAGACTTACAGTGTAGACTCCACGACTGGTACTCCCTGCCGATGTTTAGTTAGTTGAGTTCCCACCCGAGGCCTCATTTCTACAAACAAACGACATGATCCCGAAATGCGGTGCCTCAGAATGGAACCTGCGGTCGTGATTGGGAGCTTGAACTGGACTGAATGAAGTTTCGTCTTAGCTTTCCCAGCAATCCCCAATTGCCCTTGTTGTTTTGCGAAATCCTAGATAAACATCGAATGGTAGGGAAAAGTGCTTATGATTAACGGGCTAGGAACTTAGTAGCTCTTACCCTAAACCCTAAACCCATGTATGCAGGGGTCTCGGTGGAGAACGTATCCAGCTAACAAGGCTTGTAGTTGGACCTCCAGGGCTCAACCACCTCTGCACCAAAACGTCCTAAACCCTAGATCCAAACTACCCTAAAAAGGCTCTCCATGCACTGGAAAAAGGTCCTCAGACAAAAAAACAACCCTAAAGCCACTGTGAATAGCCTTCAGAGAACCCTTCCCAGGCCTGAAAACCCTCAATCCCTGGACGAGGAAGCTCCAGCCCATCGACCTGCAACCACATTCGGCGCGCTTGGAGGTCGTTGCCAGGCGGTGGGGGGCGGGGGGGAGGGGGGGGGGTGGGGCCCTAAACCCTAAACCTAGACAGTGCGGAAATGCTAAGCTTCAATTCGTTTGGTCTCGGGTTCAGGACGTGGGATCTTGAGTTAGGACTTAGGCTTCAGGCTTTAATTCATAATTAGAATAGGGTTTGGGGTTTCCTTATTATGACTATAGTATAATATACCCCCCAGACCCTGTTCTAATTATTAAACTAAGGCCCCTGCATTAGGCTTCAGGCTTTAGAGTCAGGAGCTTCGGATACTCCTCGACAGCAGCGTGGCGACCACTGTCTAACCGTCTAACTTGTGATCCGGAGAGGGTTTATTATATAGGCTTGAAGAATTACCAATACCATTTCCTTTTTTTTTTTTTTTTGGGGGGGGGGTCCTTCTTATGACCTTAGTTGATATAGCGCACCTTAACACCCTATTCTAATTATTAAGGCTCCTTTCTTACATGGTGATGCGGGGGATGAGAATCAATGATGATCTGTGCAGCAAGACGAACACTGGCAAGATCAAGCTTTCAGTCGCTACATCCCTGACCCTACGAGACGCCAAGCCCGGAAGAGCCCAAGCGACAGGCACTGACACTGCGAGGTGGTGTTTGTGAGCGACATTTCGCTCTAGCATGCAGGGTAAATTTTGGGGACTGCATATAGACTCTTCGACCTATATCAAACCCTACAGCCCGAAACCCAGACCCTAAATCCCAAGTCCTTAGACCTAAATTTAAATCCCAAATCCTTAGACCTAAAGCCCAAAGCCCTAAACCCATAAACTATAGACCCTAAAGCCGGAAGCCTTAACCCCAATGCCCTATACACCGCAAAGCGGTGCAGTCCCAAGATCCAAACGGCAATGCCAGCATGAATCGCAATTCGTAGCACCAGCAATGACTTCAAAGGGATTTCTTCTCGTACGTACTTGTAGTATAGTATATCCATGATCTTATCATCCATTGAAGGCCCTTCCTAACCCCAAACTCTAAACCCTCCCATATTGCAGGCTCGTTTGGTCCGGTGAGCGACGCGAGTCAGTTGACTGGCTGCGAGGAACTCAAAATTGGCCCTACCGGTTCGAGGTTGGGGCCAGGTTCAGAGCTGACCTTAACCCCACATAACCTGCTGCTTCAATGACTTATGAAGAGGAACCCTGAAAATGTAAGTTTTATAGGGTTCAGATAGGAGCTACCATTGCAAGTTTTCGGGTTTGGGGCTCCTAAATACCCCTTAGCCTTAGCCTGGGCCATGCTTGACTTCAAAGATCGTGGAGTCCCGGAGTGGCGGCACTAAAGCTCTGCCCCTGCATGGATTTAGAGGGTTTGCACTGCAGACTTGTAGGCTTTGGGTTCGGGCTTGAGGTCTATGCTGTGAATCGAAGTTCGGCTTGGTTGAGGGATTACGGCCTACGGGCTTGTGAGTACTTGGAGGTTCATGGATAGTTATAAGTAGGTTATAAGAATGGTAGCTATACTTGTAACCCATGTACGGGGAATTATAACCCGACTTATAACTAATAGTACCCATGAACCTCCAAGTAGGCCCTCAACCCTGTACCCTTATAGAATCCCCATAGATCCCTTTCAAGGGACCCTTAGAGGAACCCTTATAACTACCCACGAACCTCCAGGTAGTCTTCAGAAACGAAGTCAACAGGAGTCTTCAAGTGAGTCCTCCTAGTAAATCAGCAGGCGCAGAGAGCAGGTAGGCACACTGATGGACCGTAAACCCTGGAAGAGGAAGTTCAGGTCGAGTTAACTCCGACTGTGCTGCGGTGGGTCGTTGTGGAATTCCACGCCAGGGAGACCTCCGAATACTGAAGTAGGCCCCAAATCTCTGAAGCCCTATACCGCAGAGCACATCCTAGAGTGACCAACCCCTAAACACTAAACCCCTAAACCCCTAGACTAAACCCTAGACCCCGCCTAGACCCTATACCCGAAACCCTAAACCCCCTTGCTTTCCTGCGCCTTTGGGGCTCAAGCCTTGCATAGATACCGAACCTGCAAACGACCTCAGGGAGGCGAATCTGTCAGCTGAGAAGCTCGGGAAATCAGAAAGGCCAGCATTGAAGGCTTATGGTTTATACCGTCTGGTTTAGGGTCTATTGGGTTGAGGATGCAGGAGGTATATGGGGTTTATAGTTTCTTTCAAGACTCCTTCACTGTTGCAGTCTATCTACTATCTACCCGCCCAGGCTTAAAACCCGGTGAGGTTGGTTGCGTTCATCCCGAGCTTCTGAGCTGACTACTGTGCCTCCATGTTTCCATTTCGCACATGGCCGTGCCAACTCTCGCTGTGGATTCTGGCAGGATCTTCGGTGGCCCAGGACACTGGAGGGTACTCTATTTCAGGTAGGGCTCTGGGACATTTTGTATTTGCCCTTATTGGGGTGAGGAGGATCTGACCTACTAATATTGTTCAAAGGCTTTACAAGCACCTCCTAGAAAAGCAAGAGGCAAGAGGAGAAAAGAGTAGCAGAGAGACCCCTGGATACCTTCGCCAACATCAGCCGCAACGTTGGACAACCTTTCTCTCCTCTGAATGCTTCCCGGGCCACTGCAACACTCATAGGAAGCGCAAAGGAGCTTTCGCAAATCCTTGTTATCAGTGGTTCAGGAAATGGGGACACTAAACCAAACCTAAACCTTACACATGTTGGGGACACACCCCGGCAGCTCAAATCCGACCTGTTTCGCGAACCTTCGGAAACCTCTAGGACGTGGCTTGGCAAGACAATCTGCCTTTGGATGAGGCCTGTTTAGGGTTTAGGATTTAAAAGCCCTAAACCCTAAAACCCTACACCCTAAACCGTTTAGGGATTTAGGGGTTTAGGGTTTAGGGCCTTAGGTCAGGGTCTCTACAGGACTACGGTATCTTAAGTTAAGATGGGGCGCAGTCAGCCGGGACTCAGGCTGATGTTTAGGGTTTAGGGGTTTAGGGTTTAGGGGTTTAGCCCTCCAGCTGCTACCGCCTTTTCGGATTCACGGTTCCTTGTTGTGTTCATGGTGGAATAGACCCGAAGCCATGTTCTCATGAATGATTACCGCTCTAGACTAAACACTTATCGAGCCCTTCGAAGAACCATCCCTAAGCCCTAAACCCCTAAACCCGAAACCATCTTCTTTAGGGCCCTTGTATCAGGGTTTAGGTTTGTCCTTCTTATGGCATCCTCCGTTAAGGCTTTACAGCGGGGCTTTGGGGGCTTATGGTACACTTTAGGTTTAAGGGTTTGGGGTTTACTTTAGGGTTTAGTTCGGGTTTATGGTCCAGCTTAGGCTTCATGCTTCAAGGTCCACTTTGCAATGGGGCTTCGGGTATAATCACGGTCCGCTTAGGGTCCACTGTAGAGCTCGAGGGTTCAAAGAACCCTAAACCCTGAATCCTAAACCGTAAACCCAGATCCTCGACCCTTCCATCACAGGAATAGCCGTCATCAGACCGGCTCAATTCCGTCTATCCGCCTGCCTGGGCTTATCAAGGTGTGTATTATACGGTTTAGGGTTCAGGGTTTATAGAAGCCTAAATGATTCCAATTTTTCTTCCTTAGGGTTGAGGGAAGGCCAAAACCCGATTCCAATTATGAAGGTTCCAAGGGTAACTAGGATCCAGGTGTCGTAACTCCCTGAAGCTACCAGATCCTGTACAAAATTCAGCACCCTTTGAAGTTTGAACCTTGAAGCCATGTTCAACCCAGACACCCGAAATCCGAAACCCTAACCACAAAAAGCTCAATGCACTTTTCCCACTAAGCCGTGAAGTGACGCGAACTGAGCAGGTGCATGTGTCACTCCTGCAGCTGTCCCTGGAGAGCGATGCGGGGCACTGGCAGAGATTCGGCTGGAATTCAGACAAGCTCTAAGCGTAAGCAAAACAAATTCTCAGGACGATAGCTGGAATTGTATGTTTTGGGCTTGGCTTGAGGGTTTTGGGTTTGGGGTTTGAGTTTGGGGGTTTAATATCGTTAACGGTTCCAAATTCAAGGCTTAGCTGTAGCCACAAGCAGCAAGCCCCTAAACACTAAGCTGTACTTGGAGGTTCATGGGTAGTTACAAGTGGGGCTATAACTCCCAGAAAATGGCTTATAAGTATAGTTACCCTACTTATAGCCCTACTTCTAACTACCCATGAACCTACAAGTAGGCCCTAACTAAACCCTATACCCGTATAGATAGATCCCTTTAACGGGACCCTTACAGGAGCTCTACTTATAACTACCCATGAACCTTCACAGCCTAGGTTCCTGAGTGGTACCCTTTTGCCCCCTTTATTCTAGGGTTCATTTTTAAAACCGAATTGTAAGGAAAAGGGTATATACCCTTATTATAAAGGGGCTACTCAGGGACCTAGCAACAGTGGTAGGGATATCAGCAATCAGTCAGCAAGTATCGGTGCGACTGTCGCTGCTACAGCCATTTCTTATTATGCTGCTGTCACTACTCCCTCGAGCTTTGGCACCTTTACCAAAATCAGCGCCCAGAGCAGTGACATAGCTAGGAAGCTAATGGAAGAAGCACGTAGGTTCTCACTCATTATCGCTCTTGTTGAACAAAACCGTCAAACCCCGCAGTAGCCGGCGAAGTGGAACGTTACAACAAGAGTAGCCCTAAACCCGAACATCACAGTTCTAAATGATGACTGTCGGACACACGGGTTAGTCTAACTGCGTGCCGAATACGTAATCCTTGTGCCCTCTTAAAGCCTTAAACTCGTAATCCTTACCCATAGGATCCATTGTAGTTCCTTTTTGGGTTTACCTTATAGGATCGTCAACACAAGCTACAAAAAAGAACTACTATGGAGCCTCATTTAGCCAGTATAGACTATAATTCTGTTAAGGAACCCCCAAAATGCTATTGATGATAAAAACCCTGCATTACCTTAAGGACCCTGAATTCTGGGAATTATGGTATATTCCTTATTATGGGTAATGCAGAATTTCTATCATCAACCGTAGTATAGGTAATGATTTAGGTAAGCTTAAACACCCCTAAACCCTAAACCCTAAACCCTAAACTATTAAACACCCCAACATCGACTCCAGGAACCTTACGAAGGAGATCTTCGAAATCGACGGCCTCACAAGTCAGAACGAGGACAGGTTAGGGTTTAGGGTTTGGGGTTTAGGGTTTAGGGTTTAGGGTTGAGCTGGACCATAAGAAACCTACGTTCCTAGACCCTCCATCTATCCTCTACTAGACCCTCAGCACCCACTATTTGGGACTATATGCCCCTATTTGAGGGTACAAGGTCCTGGTTTTGGGGGGATCTTTAACATGATTTCCATCTGTTGGGACCTAGAAAAAGGTAGGCTCTTGAGGGTTTGGGGTTCAGGGGCCCTAAATCCTAAACCCGAGGTCGGATTTGGAGTTGAGGGCTCCGGGTTTAGGCTAGGCCAGGGATTATCCGTTTGGGCTCTAGGGTTTAGGGCTTAGGGTTTGGGTAGCCCTACCATACCATTCCTTCGGGAGTGCACGTTTCCAGTACGATGGCACCTTTGTGCTTCTTTTCGTGTTTCAATTGTTTGAACCCAGTTCAACTCAAGCTCCTGCTGTGTTGCCAGCCCTCCTGGAACCACTCTGCAACTTCAGTGCGTCAGAATGCCCCTGTGATGGAGAAGCAATAAGAGGCCCAGTGGGCCGCATTTTGTTTAGGGCTTAGGGTTTAGGGTTGACCCCTGAACTGAAAGCCCGAAACCTAACGGTTCAGGGATTAGGGCTCATTATCTGGATCCTTAAACCCTAATCCCCTGTTGGCTTTGAGTTTTGGGGTCTGAGCTGGGCCGCAAACATGTTCAACCAACCTGAGATTGCAAACATCATCCAGCCTTCTTACCCCAAACCTAGAAACCTTAAACCCTCAGCTTTACCCCCCAAACCCCGAAACCTTAAACCCTCAACTTTAAAACCCAAGCCCCGAAACCTTAAACGGAAGCCTGCAAATCCTGCAAACTTACATCCCGCATCAACCTTCCCCCTTCGACCCCAGCTCCCTAAACCACGAAGCCCCTTGACTCCATAAGCTACAGTCCCTGAACTCCCGGGCCTT